ATTTCGCAGCCACAGCGGTCACTCTTGGAGGAGGAGAACTTCATGCCGATTGTGCGGCTCCTCCAGACCCAGATTCAAGCGCTGCACGCCACGCACAGGCACATGGTCTCCCAGCACCAGGACCAGGCCACGCTGTGTGGCAGGTATCGGCCGGTGGCCTGCCTGGCGGTGGGGCTGCACGTGCTGCTGCAGGAGGTGGGCCGCCTGCACCCGCTCTACCGCTTCCCCACCGAGTTCTGCATTGGCCGTGTGCGGCAAGCCCTGATCTCGGCCAAGCGCCAGGAGGCCAGCAAGCAGGAGTCCCTGGAGGCCCGGCTGCTGGAGCTCAGCAGGATGGTGCTCTGGCAGCTGCTCACCCAGGCCCTGCCCTGCCTGCGGGAGGCTCACCGCCCACTCTACTTCTTCCTGGGAGCCGTGACTATGCTGCGAGTGGCGGGGGACGTCAGCCCTCTGGAGTGGCTGGCCTTCACCCAGGGCCTGCGAGACCCGGCTGCCAAGGCCCTGCTCCTGCCCCTGGGGCCCGGCCCGGTCTGCCCCAGCTGGGTGAGTGCGGAGGCCTGGGAGGAGTGCGCCTTGCTGGAGAACCTTCCTGGCTTCCACGGACTGCTGGCTTCTCTGGCCGAGAAGGCGGTCCAGTGGCAGGAGTACTTCTCCCTGCCCTCCACGGTGGTGGGGCCGGCTCTGTGCCCCAGCCACGCGCATCTCAGCCCTTTCCAGCGTGCCATCCTTTGGCGCATTCTGTGCCCCAGCGCCATGTGCCAGGTGATTTCCGATCTCACCACCTGCTTGCTGGGTTGGTCCTTCACCGAAAAAATGGCAGCTGTCAGTCCCTACTCCTATAGCCGCGCCAACAAGCCGGTCATCTTCGTCACGGCCCCGGCCGGATCGCAGGCTTCCTTTACACATCCTCTGCTCTGGATCCAGCAGATGGCAGCCCAGCGGGGACGGAGGGTGAGTGGGGCCTGGCAGGAAAGAGAGGGACGAGGCGGGCAGACTGGAAGGGGTCTCCAGACCCCTCACTGGCAGCTCTGCCCTACAGGGAAGAGTGGTCGTCATCTCCTTTGGTACCCCAGATGCCTCCCGGCGTGTCCAGCGAACGCTGCCCTTTTGCACCAGGAAGGGGAAGTGGCTGGTTCTGGACAACTGCCAGCTGCTGAGCCGTTGGGATCCTGAAGTCCTGCAGCAGCTGGACCTGGTGCTGACCACTCCGGCAGGTCAGAGGCAGGAGGCGCTGGGGAAGTCCGTTTCCGGCGAGTATGGGAGGACCCTTCGTTACTCCTTCTTTCCCACTGCAGGAGTGAGCAAAGGGGGCCCCCTGGAGATCCACCCCAAGTTCCGGCTGTGGCTCATCACGACGCTCAATGCCACCGACTCTGTGCCAGGTACGGCTGTTCTCCTGGAGAGGCCGAGCAGGAGGGGCTCCCACCCCGAGAAGAAAGGAGAAAGGATGTGAACCACGAGAGGGTGAGGGGCCGAGTGCCCTGGCTGATCCCCTGCCCCACCAGTCCCTCTCTTCCCCTGCGTGCCCAGGACCCGTGCACCGCAGCGCCATCACCCTTTTCTGCGAGATGCCCCTGGAGCTGAAAGGCATCCTGGCCCATACTCACCAGTGGCTGCAGGGACAGGTCCAGAACCTGGACACGGAGAAACGGCTCTCGCTGCTCGTCCTCCATGGGGTCCTGCTGTACCGGCAGAACTACGCCCGGTGGACCCAGGCCGCATCCTACCTCTGGTGAGTCGGGGGGGCCACCCAGAGAGCTTTCGGAGTAGGAATGGTGACGGAGATGTGGACGGGATTCTCCCGCCTGCCAGGTGGCTGGAAGACCACAGCTCTGGTGGTTCAGGGCGGCCCCAGGAGCAGCTGGGCCTTTGCATCCCTGTGGTAGGAGGATGGGCGGGGGGGGGGGGCTGGTAGCATCTCGCAGACCCACTCAGTCTGAGGTTGCACGCAGAATGGCTTTGGTCCCGCCCAGAATGATACTTTTTAAAAAGTCTGTAATTTGTAACCTGAGGGAAGCCAGGCAGAGGGGGGGGGCCCTCCAGATTCACTCAGTGGCCCTCAATCTGTCAGCCTCTGCCCTGGACGCTTTTGGCACTGGCTGGTTAAAACAAAAGGCTCCTGCAAGTCCTCCTGCCCGAGGGATGGGCCCGGGAGGGGTGGGGCTCCTGACCCCCTCGGCTGGGTTCACGTGAACTTTGTTCTCCTTAGTCTCCCATAGACTCCCCTCAAATCCTCACAGAACTGCAGGCTTCTGCAGATGACAGAGGAAAACTGCACTAGAACATCCAACCCCTTTTTAGCTACGCTACAGGTAGTGCTCATGTCTCGTTTAGTGACTGCTTAGTTACAACGGCAATCAAAAAATAACTTTGCAAGCAATTCTCACATGTACGACCTTTGCAGAAAGAAAGGTTGAAACAAGGTCAACAAAGGACAGCTGTGGTTTCAATTAGCCACCGCTTCATTTAATGACCGGTCCCAGTTGGGGTTCCCAACATCCTTCAAAATCCCTTTAAATTAACTGTTTCAACCACTGTTCAATCCTGTCTAATTCCCTTCGCCTCACTGGCCTCTGTCGTTATTTTCATAGTGCTGTTTCCACTACGTGGCCCCCCAGCCCACCTGGAGCAGCCGGAGGGGAGGGGAGGGGAGAAGGGACCGAGCAGGGAGCTTTAATGACCCTCCAGCTGCAGAGCTGAAGTAGCTCCATAGAAGCTGACATCCCCGGAGTTCACCTCCGGGGCCAAGGAGGCCGATTGGGTGGACACCTTGGGGTGCAAAGCCAGGGATGCTGCAGCCAGCGCTGGCTCCAGGCAGGAGCACAGAGTGGGGGGAAGAGGCACCAGAGCAGCTGGGCCTGGCTCTGGATCGGCCACTGCACCAAAACCCTGGGCTCCACGGTGTCTGCTCCGCACTTCCACCAGTTTTTCAAAGCCCCCCTCCCCCCCCGCAGCTCAGATACCGTCTCTAAGCTCCATGCGCAAATCTCTCATGGGTGACGCCCACCCATCTCCAAGAGCCCCACGGCCACTTCCCTAGAGGAGGAAGGCCCGGCAGGGATCTCCTCCCACACCCCAAGGGTCCTTCGGTGCTGCCCCCGCCTCCCCTTCCCCCTCAACCGCCTAGCATTGCCAGGGTCCCTGCTGTTCTGTCCCGCCAGGAGTCACGGGGAGGTCCTGGCGGGCCTCAAGGCTCTGGAGAGGCTGAGTCGGATGGCAGGCTCCTCGGAGGAAGCACAGCTGCAGCTGGCAGGTAGGAAGAAGCCCCCTTTGAGGTCTGCCAGCCCAGCCCGCCCACACCAAGGGAGGGGCTGCACCTTCCCTCTCTGTCCCCACAGGGACCATCCTCTACGGAGGCCACGTCCTGGATGAGGGGGATGCGCAGGCAGTGGAGAGCTTGTGCCGGCAGTGCTTGGCCCCTGCTTCCCACCCGCTGCCTGGCTCCGGCCTTCAGAGGCTCCTCGCTGCGGTCATCGGCCACACAAGCCCAGGTAAGAAGCGTCCGTGCAGAGCCTCACCGGCAGAAGGCAGACTGGCTCGGCCCTGATCCGCCCTGTCTCCCCCGCAAGGGCTCTTCGAAGACGAGGCCTCGGCAGCGACCCAGGGCCGGATGCAGCAGCTGCCCAGCCCCACGGACCCTGCCTGGGTAGGGCTGTGCGATAGCCTGCAGCCCCAAATGCTGGCCAGCCGCAGCCAAGACCTGCTCTCGGCTCTGAAGGCGTCCCAGGACCTTTGGCCTCGCCGGATCCCCCAGCTCCCGAACACACTGGAGCAGCTGGCCAAGCGAGGCCTGGAGGTGGTGCAGGAGCTGCAGGAGCAGCTGGCACAATGCGGCTGGGAGGTGGGAGCCCGAGGGCGCCCCCCCCCACGGGCAGCCCCGCCCCAAGCCCCGCCCCCTGCAGCGCTTCCTGCTGGAGGAGGCGGGTGCCTTCCTGGCTCTGCTAGAGCAGGTGGGCAGGGACCTTGCCTGCGCCCAGGAGTGCCTGCAGGGGCTGCCCTGTTCCTCCCCCCGCTGCACCGCCCTCCTCCAGGCCTTGCAGCGGCAGCAGCTGCCCCGCCACTGGCTGCCCTACGTGCCCACCGGCCCCGAGCCCTTGCAGGACTAGCTGGGGACGCTCCAGCGGCGGAGCGAGCTTCTGTGCCGCTACCTGCAGTCCATTGGGGGGGAGCCGGTGGTCTGCTACCAGCTGGCAGCCTTCCAGCAGCCGCAGCGCCTCTTCCTGGCCCTGCTCCAAGAGAAGGCCCGGCCGGAGAAACAAGAGCTGGAGAGCTTCCACCTGGACCAGCAGGTGAGGGTAGCCGCTATGGGTGGTGTGTGTGTGTGTGTGTGTAGGCCCAGGCCCTTGGCTGTGAACCCCTCTTTGGTTTTGCAGGTGTTGCCCAGCCTGCTGCCCCCCGACAGTGCCCCCGAGAAGGGCGTCTACCTGGGTGGCCTGGAGGTCTACCACGCTGCCTGGAACACCCACAGCGGCCACCTCCAGGAGAGCCTCTCGGCACAAGCCTGCCAGCTGCCTCCGGTTTGGGTGCAAGCCAGCCGGGAGCCCTGGACGGCAGCCTCTGTCCCCCGCAAGTACCAATGCCCTGTGTACTTGGGGACCCCCCAGGCAGCCCTGGACCTCTGCAGTCAGCGGGTCATCATGTACCTGGCTCTCCCTTCCAAGATGTCTCCTGAGCAGTGCACCCAGCAACGGGTTCACGCCATCAGTGTTCTGCGGTGAGAGGCCACCACAAGGTTCGAAGCATGGGGAAACCCCTGAGGGTCAAGCTGTCCTAACCCTTCCTCCTGGTACACAGAGAAATTGTCACCATAACTACAGAAATAAAACCATATATTGTGTGTACAAAACAGTCCCCGGTGCTCTGCCGCTTTGCCAGCCAGGGAGGTCCCACTGCCTCAGTTATAAATAAGATGACCTTGGACGCACCCCCACACGCACCCCCACCCACCCACCCCCTGGCGGGGCCACCCGGCCTGCAGGCTCCCCAAACAGTCCAGCCCCTCATTTCAGGTCCACGTCAAAGTCCAGCACCAGCAGCTTGGTTTCTTCGGTGCCATTGCGGCTGCCAACAGCACACACGAGTTTGGTGTTGGAGGCACGGATGCGCCAGACGACCCCTCCGCTGCCCCCACTTTCCAGGGCAACCAGGTTGCGCACAAATTCCCCCGTCTTGAGATCCCACAGCTTGACTGTGCCATCGTCTGAGCTGGTCACGACAAACTTGGAACTGAACTGGAGGCAGGTGACTGCGCTCTGGTGCTTACTGGGTCCTGCGAAGAGGAGGGGAGGTGGGAAGGGGGGACTGTGCACGTGTCGCCCCTTCCAAGTGAAACCAACCCTCCCCATGGCCCCACTTGCCCCATGCCCAACAGTCGGAAGCTGCTTCCAGGCATGGGATGCAGCCATCCCTTTGCGAGAGCAACAGCCGATGCAGCCAGATGCGGCCCTGGCAGTTCCCCAAAAGCAGCCTGGCCGAAAGGCCATCACCGTGCCCGGCTCTGGGGCGCGCCTTCCGTCACATTGGACGCTGCACACGAGAGCTGGCTTCCTACATCCAGAGTTCTACCCCTGGGGGCCAATAGCGGCAGAGCTCACTGTCGCACTTCAGGAGGCCAGAGACCCTTGCTCTGCCAGTCTCTGCCCCCTGCCACACTCACCTTGGAGAGTTTGCAAGCACTGCCCCGTCTTGATATCCCAAATTTTCACAGTGGAGTCAGCATTGCCAGAGACGAGGATGTTGTCCCGCAACTCCATGCCGCTGGTGAGGGACTGGTGCCCCATCAGGGTGTGCAAGCAGTTGCCGCTCTCGGCATCCCATACACGGATTGAGGTGTCAAGGGAGCCACTCACAATGTGGGTGCCGTCAAACTGCACAACGGTAAGAGACAAAACGTTGCAAATGAGCAGCTCTGGAGGGCTGGGCTGGGCTGGATAGCCCCCCGCAAGCCCCTTCCAGCTCCCCCACACGGAAGGAGAGCCTCACCTGCAGGGAGTAGACCCGGTTGGTGTGGCCTTGCAAAGTGTGGGTGCAGCTCTCTGTCTCCGGATCCCAGACTTTCACCGTGTAGTCGTAGGCACCGCTCACCACCTTATGCCCATCGTACTGGACACAACGCACAGCAGCCACATGTCCCATTAGCACATGGAGGCACTGCCCAGTCTCTATATCCCAAAGACGGAGAGTGGCGTCCCGAGAGCCACTCACCACCCTGCCAAGGGAAGGGAAGTAGCCTCAGCGTCCTGTCTGACACCACAGGAAACCCCAGCCAGCTTTCCAAACACCCCTATCCTACTCCAGGCTCCTCTACCTGGTGTCATGGAGATGCATACAGCGCACAGTCGAGGTGTGACCGTAGAGAGTATGCACACATTCGCCAGTGTCTGCGTTCCACACTTTCAAAGTCCGGTCTGTAGAGCCACTGATGATGATATTGTCCCTCATCTGGGAGGACCAAACGCCACCAGTGTGTCCCACCAGAGTCTGCACACACTGCGGGAGAAGCAGGACTTCAGAAGGGCCGGGCGGGGCCAAGAAAGCCGTCACCGCCACAGAAGCTGAACCGGGGCTCACCTCACCAGTGATGGCTGACCAAACCTTGAGCGTGTTGTCATCGGAGCCACTGACAATGCGGTTGCCACAGAACTGGAGGCAGGTGATGACGTGGTCATCGTGACCTTTGAGGACCTGCTCCGGGCACAGAAGGAACAAGTGAGCTGCAGCCCCAACAATGGAGAGGCTTCATCCACAAGTGAGGAGAGCTCACTTTAAACTTTCCAGCTTGGAGCAAGCCCCAGGATCAATAGCCGTGACCACGGAGCCACCAGCTGGGCTTCCAATCCTTAAATGTGGATGAATGAGATCCACGTGTGAGCAATCAACGCTCCTCTCTTCAACTGCCCCATTTCTGAATCCCCCTCATTGGCAGCTCCTCTTCCTGAGCATGCAGGGGGCACCGAGACCAGTTCAGACACCACCTTCCTGCTGTGGTTGCTGCAGACACAGGCAAGGCCCTCCCCTCGCAGTCGCTGGCCGTCCCGCCCCCTCAACCTTCACACTCCCCCAGTCTACATTTAGGGCGAGCAAGATGGACACCTGGCTGCCGGATGAAAGCAATCTTGGAGGTGGGGACTCAGCATACCTTGGGGGGCCGGGCATCTCCATTGCGCCAGTTCATATCAATGCGATGCTGCCGCAGAAAGGCCAACTTCCAAGGGCTGTACATGAAGCCTGGGCTCAGCAGCCGACGCTTACGCAGGCTCAGCGGCTCCTCAATACCTGCACAGAGGGACCGGGGGGGGGGGCCTGGTCAGGGCAAGGATGGCCAGGGGAGCCCACCCTGCCAACAACTGGGCAAAGCAAGGGGGAAGCTGGGCCTCACCTCCATCGCGGCACTTCTCCCGCCACAGCAAGTTGTCTTCGGCTAAAATGCGCCAGTAGCGACACGTCTGCGCAGCTCGGAGCAGGTCCCGAGGCTCCAGGAAGGAGAGGACATAGAGAGCCAGCTGGAAGAGGAGGAAGAGCTGGGGCTTGGGGGCTGTTCAATGAAAGCCCAGCCGATGCACTCAGGCCGTGTGCCACCTGGGGCCCACCAGGCAGCTTCCTCCCTCCTTGGAACAGGACTACTGTCCATCTGGCTGCCGTGCCAATAGCCACAACTGCTCAAGAGCAGGGACAGGGAGCATCCCCACGTCTCTTCTCTGGCGACCTTTCCAGGTGGCTCTGCAAAGTTGGGAAGATTTGCCCACGCCCTCTGAAGGTCTTACGACCTGCTGCGTGCCCCAGGACCTGGCCAGCATCAGAGCCCAGCCTTCTACCTGGACCTGCCCACAGCGCCTCAGCCCACTGGCTTCTAATACACGTTCCCTTTGACCTTTGTTAGGGTCATTCGGGTTTTGCCATGTTCAGGCTCCGCCTCACAAGCCCTCTGATTTCTTTGTGCCCGTTGTATGTGTAGCACAACCAAAGCTCCACTGTCGGCTCTCCTCGGACGTGACTCTTTTTCTAGTTATGTTCTCGCTCTCTTCTTTCAGTGGAACTGCCTGACGCTCTCTAACAACATCATTCACGTTTAGACTTCTGTAAAAAGTATTGTACCAAGCAGCCCCGTCTCAACTACATCACACCTGGCACTGTGCGAGACCTCCTTCCAAACAGGCCACCCACCTCCTTTGGCAGAAGCGAGATGAAGTCACGCTGGAACTGGGGCTCAATCACTTGCATCATGTGCTTAATCTGGGGGGGCTCACAGCGGTCAATGAGCTCATCCAGGGCCAGCAGCTTCTCCGGGCCACTCCAGTGCTGGCAGGAAACCAAAGGAGGATGCACAGAATAGAAAAAGAACGAAGCAGCTCGTTCTCTTTACTTGTCCAGCTAAAAATGTTTAACGCTCATTGCACCTACAGCACATTCTGCAAACATCCCATAGGAAGAAAACGGACCCCCAACAGCCAAGGGCTGCAACCCCCAAAGCCCACCCTCCCCAAACCCAAGATCTCTTGCTAGAAGCCCTCAGCCTCCCCACCACTCACCTGGAAAGTGCGCAACCAGTCCTGCAGCTCAGGGGGCGGAGCCACAGGGGGGACATGCCGGCAGCGTGCCTGGCTAGCCTTGGCATTCCGAAGATCCCCAAAAGTGGCCACAGGCCGGGCGATGCAAGGACCCAGCATCCTGAGGACAGAGCGAAGTCATCCCTAGCAAGCGCCCCAACTCCTGTCTGCCTCCCCCAGCCACACACACGCGCGCACCCCCAGGGGCCTTACCTGCCCCGCTCGGAACGTTTGCAGAGCTTCTTCCCCGGGGACTGGGCTCTGCCCTCGGGCCCGCCCTCTGACTTGCGCTTCATCTGCAACCGGGAGAGACCAGGGCATCAGCAGCCCGAGCCAGCTGCGTAAACGGAAGATCCCGACCAAAGCAAGCAGGCTCCGCCCCGCCGCCCACCAAATCAAGCTCCTGCCGGGTCTGCAACGCTGCAAAACCCCAAAGGCCGGCTGGGCGTCCCCGCATTCGGAGGGCGGAAGCCTACTGCGCCTCCCCGCAGCCCCGGCCTCGCCTTCCCTACCTTGGGCCGGGAGTGCTGGAGGAGCCCCCCGCCCTCCGTCCGCTCCACGTAATCGATCCAGCGCTCGTCCACCGTGTAGTAGAAGTAGCCGTCCCCGCCCGCCTCGTCGCCGTCGCTGCTCTCCTCTTCCTCTTCCTCCTCCTCCTCCTCCTGGCGGCGGCCCCTCGGGGAACCGGGCCCGCCGCCGCGCTCAGGACTGCGCTCCGGCCCTCCGGGGTTGCGGGCAGCGGAGACCTCTCCGCGCGGTCCTCCCGCTCCGCCGCCGCCATCCTGCGAAGGGGACGGGGAAGCGCAGGCGAGGCTGCGCGTCCCCCCGGCCTCCCTGCCGGCGCGCGGAGAGCCTTGGGCGGCCGGGCCGGGGCGCCGTCGCGGGCGGCCGTCGGGGGTCTCCGGGCGGTGCGAGCAGGTCACGCGCTGGCGGTTCAGCTCCAGGGTCCGGGCGGTGATGCCCTTGACGCGCAGCAGGTCCTCCAGGCGTGCGAAGCCCCTCAGCTCCTGAGCGGGCCGGGAGACGGTCAGGCGGGCGCCCGCGGGACCCCCGCCCCGGAAGAGCCGCCCCCCCCCGAGCCGCCCTCCGGTCGCTCACCTCCCTCTTGCGCACGATGCCTCGCGCTCGGCGGCGCCCGATCCCGACCAGCGCCCGCTCCAACTCCGCCGCGCCGGCCCGGTTGACGTCTATCCTGCCGCCCCCGGACCCAGACCCCGACATCGCCACCGCCGCGCCCGGGCCGCCGCCGCGCGCGCCTGCGCGGGCCGCCCGCCCCGCCTACATTTCCCAGAGAGCCACACGAGAGCCGCCAGTCGCCAAACAAGACGGGCCTTTATTGGTCAGCGGCGCTTGTAGAGGCAGGGCCGCAGCGCCAGTCCGCGCGGCTCCTCCGCCGCCTTCGCCGCCCGCTCGGTCTTGCGCAGTTCGAAGCTGTAGAAGTGGCTGCCCGAGACATCCTGCGGAGGGAGAAGCCGTCGGTGGGGCCCGGGGCAGGCAGGCAGGCCCGGCCCGGTCCCGCTTACCTTGGAGATCAGCCGGAAGCCCAGCCGGGCCAGCGCCCCCAGGAAGGCCCGGAGGTCCGCGAAGCGGCTCGCCACCTCGGCCACCAGCAGCGTCCCCCTGCGGCGCAGAGAAAGAGCGCGAGTGCTCGCCCGGCCGCCTCGGGATCCCCCCCCCCGGCCGTCCCCCCGCTGCTTACCCGGCTCGCAGGACGCGGTGAGCCTCTTGCAGGATCTCGTGCAGGTTGGTGCCCATCAGCGCCAGGCAGAAGACGGCCACGTCCACGGAGGCGTCCTCTAGCGGCACCTGCGGGCGACCAGAACACCTGTCCGACCAGGCGGCGGGGGCGAGGCGGGAGGGAAGTGGGGGGGAGCCCGGCCGGCTGGCCGGCCTACCTGGGCCATGTCGCAGACGGTCACCCGCGGGTCCAGGGCCGCCAGGTCGAAGCAGTGCACCCGGTTGGGCAGGCTACGAGCCAGGGTGCAATCCCCACAGCCAAAGTCGGCTACAACCAGGGAGGCCGGTCTGTGGGGAGGAGAGGGCCAGTTAGAACAGGCGGAACAGCCCCCCCCCGCCCCCCACAGCCTGGCCCCGAGTTTGTGCCTGGGGAGGCATGAGGCACAAAAGCCTGCACTGACCCTCGGAGGAAAGCCTGCCACATGGAAGGGGAGAGGGGCCGAAGCAGGGCCGAAGCAGGCTTATTGTTTAGCTTGGATTAAGAGCAGTTGCTCTCATCAACTTAGAATTATTTTCCTGTATCCAAATAAACCTGCTTTTCTCACAGGCTCCTTTACGTTCTCTACTTGTTCCCAACCACGGGGAAGCCGTTCCAGCAGGCATGCTGCACAGGCCTTTTTGTAACATTTTTCAAAAGGTTGTTAATAGCAGGACAGAGCAGTCACCCAGAAAAGATGGTGGCTGCTGCAAATTCAGCCAGAAAAGACGTTTGTTGATCCCCAAAGGAGAATTGGATCAAACCAACTGCCAGGGTAGTGTTCAGGCTTGTGGTTTCAAAATCCACATCTTGCACCAGAGCAGGGCCCAGAACTCATGGGCCACAGCAGCCAGAGCCTCAAAGCAGATCAGCTTTGTTCCAGCCTCAGATCCTCAGGCAGGCCTCTGGGACAGTCCAGGGATCCCCAGCCCACTGGACTGAGCTCACTCTGACCTGCGGCGAAGGTAGTGCACAAAGTGTTCCACGGGTCGCTCGGGCCAGCGGGCTGCCTGCAGGGCAAACCCTCGGTGGTAGACAGCTAAAGCCTCAGGGTCCTCCTGGAAAAGCTGGGCTGCCTCTTGGCTGGAGTGTGTGTACAGCAGCTGGTTGATGTAGCGGAAGCGAGCAGCATCCAGGCGGCTCTCCAGACGCTGCCGCAGGGACGGCGTCTGCCTGCTAGGCGCCTCCGTATCTGGGGTCAGGCTTCCCTGGTCATCAGGAGGCTCCTCTGCTTCAGAAGACGCCAGAGGCTGGCCGTTGGAGGCCTTGAATTTGTTCTTCTGCCGCCGCTTGTTCTTCTGCTGATTTCTCCATTGTTTCCTGGTCAGTTGCTGCCTCAGCCCCGGGGCTGCTCTGTCGTACCAACTGCTGGACTCCGGGCTGCCCTCCACCGCTGCCATCTCACCTAGACATAAGCGCTTCATATGAGGCCCGTGTGGACCCAGAGGCTGGTGCACAAGAGCCACCCCTGCCCAAGCACGCAGCAGAGATCTCCGCCGATCAACTCATTTTGAGTGGCCCGGAGCGGACCCCCCTTGCGGGCTCCAGGCGGGGCTGAGGCAAGAGAGCAAAGCGCCTTCCCGTCTGCTCGGCCCGCTCGCTGGTTACCGCCAGAACCGGGACGGATCCCCCGGGCAGCGCTATCCCCGGCCGCGCAGCCTGGTTCCTCCGAGCGTGTCGCGGCGCCCGGTCCCCGAGGAGGCTCTCCCGATGGCCGCGCGGCTCCGGGCAGCAGACCGATTCCTGCAGCTGGTCGCCCCGCAGGCAGCGCGCTTCGCGGAGGAGATCCGCTGCCCTCGCTTGAGCAGGAGCTGCCGCTCTCGCAGCCGACGGGACCTCCGGTACCTGCCACTCTCCGGCCGCCGCGCTTCTCCCCGGGCACTGGGGCACAACCCGCGCTCTCGGCCGCCTCGTGTCCGCGCCGCCCGCCGCCCGCAGCGCTCTTGCCCGGCGGCGGCTCAGCGCCTGCGAGGCCTAGCGGTGCCCCAGGCCGTAGCCGCCGGCGCAGGGCTGCCCGGGAGCGCTGCCGGGAGAGGAGCGACGCCCGTCCGGCGATGGATCCCGCGGCCAGAGACCTCCGCGCCGGCATCGTCTCAGCGGGCGCCGGAACCCGCGCAACGTCCGGCGCCGAGNCCGGCCGCGCGGCTTTTTTGGGAGCGCAGCTGCTGAGCCGCCGGCGGGCCTGGAGGGGAGAGCCGGGCGAGCGGGGAGCCTGGTGATGGCGGCGGCGGCGGCGGGGCGGCGCTCCGGCCGGCGGCTGTACCAGGCCTCTCCTCGGTGGGCGCTGGCCCCGCGGGCTCTCCGCGCAACCCCCGGCCCAGCGGAGGCGAGGCGGGGGCCGGGGACGGCCGGAGCGCCTCCCTGTCCCGCTCCGATCTCCTTTTAAGGGCCGCCCGCTGGCGCTGGCCGCGGAAGAGGGAAGGAGGACGGGCGGGAGTGGCTGGGCGCTGCCTCCCTCCCTTCCTCCCGCGACCGCTTCCCTCGCTTCCTGCCTCCCTGCCAGGGACGACCATGGCTTCAGCCCCCTGCACTGGGCTTGCCGCGAAGGGCGCTCCAGCGTGGTGGACATGCTGGTTATGCGCGGCGCCCGCATCAACGTCATGAACCGGGGAGACGACACCCCCCTGCACCTGGCCGCCAGCCACGGGCACCGCGACATCGTCCAGAAGGTGGGGACCCCGGGGCGCCCTGCCTGGCGGCTGCAGCTCCCTGCCCGGGGGGGGGGAGGGGCGTGTAGGCAAGCCGGGGGGGGGAGGGAGCTGTTGCGGTCCCAATGCCCTGATCCTCCCTTCTCTCCCGGTGCAGCTGATCCAGTTCAAGGCAGACATCAATGCCGCCAACGAGCACGGCAACACCCCTCTCCATTACGCCTGTTTCTGGGCCCAAGAGCAGGTGGCGGAGGTGAGTGGGGGCTTCTAGGGGCCTGTGCCGAGCCTGGCCGTAACCCCGGGTCGGTTGGGTTGCGAGTAGGGGCTGTCTCCCTGCCTCACCTTCCCTCCCTGTTGCTGCCAGGACCTGGTAGCCAGTGGGGCGCTGGTCAGCATCTGCAACAAATACGGAGAGACGCCCCTGGACAAGGCCAAGGAGCCCCTGCGGGACACACTGAGAGGTGCGCCCTCTTCTAGCTGACCTCTGACGCCTTCTTCCTTCCTTCCGCTCCTGCTCCTTGGTGGGGAGGGCAGAGTTAGCCTGTGGACCTGCCTGGTCGGCCAGCACCAAGAGTGGTTCTTTTCCTTGTGGCCCCTTGTGTGAAGCTGGCCACCAGGCTGTCAGCTCCAAACTCGGGCAACCCAAGTTTGGTGTAGAGCTCTTAAGAATTTCATTGCTGAATTTGGGAGAGACACTTCTCTGCCCATTTGAAAATGCAAATCATCAAGTAATTCATTCTGAATAAAAATCACTTATTAGGGAGTAGTCACTGTGAGAGAGACCTAAGTGTCCTCGTGAACCACCGTTGAGCCAGCAATGGGTTGTAGCTGCCAAAATAGCCAACACAATCCTGGGATGATGTCAAGAGAAGTGCTAGTACCACTTTATACTGCACTAACGAGGAAAAACTGTGTCCAGTTCTGGTCACCCCGACACCAAAAAGATTCTGAGCCCTAGAAAACAGGCACAGGAGAGCAACAAAGATGAGGAGTCTGGAAGTACGATGAACCTTGCAGGAGAGATGGGCAGCATAGAAAATGAAGTGAGTAAAGATTGAGGGAGCCTACTGAAGAGAAGGACAACTCTCTTCCAGTACTTGAGGTGCCACCACAGAGAAGAGGGTCTGACTTGTTCTCCAAAACACCTGAAGGCAGGACAAGAAGCGACAGGTGGAAGTTTGTGAGAAACAAATTTTCTGACAGAGAGAACAATTATTCAGTGGAGCAACCTCCCTCCCAGAGCTGTGGGTGCTGGAGGTTTCCAGAAAGAGATTGGATAACCATTTGACTGGGGTTTTTCTATAAGGTCTCCTGCTTTGAGCAGGGGTTGGACTGGAAGACCTTTGAGGTCCCTTCCAGTCCCAGGAGTTTGTCTTCTAGGTGCCTTCACACTTGGTCTTAAGGCAAAAACTGGGTTCCCCCCAAACCCAGAGCTCTTTCAGTCCATCTTTGCGTTTGCTCCCCCCCCCCCCCCGTTTCCTTGGGTAAATTCGGGGAAGGGTGATGGACGGAGTGACCAGAAGAGCGAAGGGGGGGAGTCAAGCTCTCCGGCCTCCCTGACTGCTCCCTCTGCTGTTCTAGAGCGTGCAGAGAAGTCCGGCCAAAGCCTGACCCGCGTCCCCTACAAAGACACGTTTTGGAAAGGCACCACGCGGACTCGACCACGTAAGGGGTGGCCTTCCCAGAAGGAGGCAAGCGGGGCTTGTGGGTCAGAGCTGGGGGCCGAGCTGGAAGGTCCTGACCCTCTCCTGGGCCTTTCTCCTTCCTAGGTAACGGGACCCTGAACAAGCTGGCGGGGATTGACTTCCGGCAGCTGAGCCTGGGCCACAAACTCAACGAAAACCAGTCTGGAGAGGTGCTGTTTCCAGCTCCCCTGCCCTGCCCTCTCCCGGCAAAGATGGGGAGGGGGCTCCCCCGTTCCTGCCTCAGCCGGGTCGGCCAGGTGCCCTGACCCCTCTGCTTCCCTGCAGCTCTGGAAGGGGCGCTGGCAGGGGAATGACATCGTCGTCAAGGTCCTCAAGATCCGCGACTGGACAACCCGGAAGAGCCGGGACTTCAATGAGGAATACCCCAAGCTCAGGTGTGGCAGCAGCAGCTGAACGGGGTAGGGTGTATGTGTGTAGGAATGGGGAGACTCTGCCCTGCCCCCCTCGCCCTCAAGCAGCACCCGGGCCTGCCTTTGGGCGTGACAAAGCTGACCTGAGCCGTCTCTCCCCACAGGATTTTCTCCCACCCCAACGTGCTGCCGGTGCTGGGTGCCTGCCAGTCGCCCCCTGCTCCACACCCCATCATCATCACCCACTGGATGCCCTACGGCTCCCTTTACAACGTGCTGCACGAAGGCACCAGTGAGTCTGGCCACTGGCTGGGGAGGGGGCTCCTTACAGCCCAACAAGGGGGGAGGTAGCAGAGGCCCCAAAGTCACTGACCGGCTACGTGAAACGGTTGGCCACGCCACACTAGGTCGTTCCCACAACAGAAACAACTCCCGAGTTGCAACTGAGCTGTGTCTTACGGAAGCTGAGGAGCAGCTGGGTCAAAGTATGCCACGCACCACCACCCCAAATTAAACTAGCTTGTCCCAGGGCATCCTGAAGCATCCCTTTGACCCTGTCCATGGGGGAGGGGGGCAATGTCCGGCACCTCCCTTGAATTAGGTCTGTCGGGCATAAGTAAGCAGGAAGAGGAGTTTACTTCAAAGCACTCCAGCTTTATTCCATGCTACCCTTGCCCAAGAATCTCCTGGTGGTCAAGGCAAATTGGCACCAGAGAAGACTCAACTTGCAGGGTGTGTGTGTTAGCTGGATTTGGAGCTCTTGTGGGAGTGTAGATAGTCATCCAAAGTGACGCACTGACTGACCCAGCCCTCGGCCTCTGCCTGGTCATCTACTGCACGTCTGCAGTGGGCTGCTCTGAGGCGCTGGTCTTCGGAGGGCCTGTGGGCAGCCCCTCTCTGGGAATGGAATGTTCCTCTCCTGGGGGGGTCTGGGCCTGGGTCTCTTGTAGCCTTTTTCCTTCCTCCGCTGCAGTCCTGGAGAATAATCCCGCTGGACCAGCAGCCCCAATTTCTCTGGGCGCAAAGTGACCCTGTTGGCTTCCTGGAAAGTATTTCCACTGCTGCCAGTAAAAAAAACAGTGAAAGTACAGCTGCCAAAACCGTGAGATTTTGATGCCCATTTGCCTGAAATTCCTCAGAGAACTGTGGAAGAGCAGTGGGCTCAACTTCTCTACAAAAAGTGAAGTAAAAAAGGCTAGAAGGAAATTCAAAACAAATCACTAAAAGAGAAAGTCCAATAGGCAACTGACCCGAAGGTGGCTTGGACACATTCACAGCTGGGACACCCCTGCCAAGGCCTGAATTGACACCACCCCTTGCCCACGGAGCCTGCTTGCTTTCTCTCGCCCGTTCTAATTTTGGGCGTGATTTTGCCCTTCAGCCAAGCTTCGGCGGGGGTGGCTGCCACCCCAGGTGCCCGTTGCAGGAAGGAGGGGCTCCTTTCCACCCCTGTGGGTGAGCACTTCCCGTGGACTCGCTGTCCAAGGAGCAAGTCTTCCCCAGGGATGATGGCCGGATGGGAACGTGGGGCGAGAGGCGTTCCTGGCAGCCAGAGTGGGGCATCCAGGCGACTGGGCTGCTCCAAGGCTCTCTGACTGGGAGCCGTGCCCTGAGTGGGCCAGGAGTTGCCCGAGAGGGGCTTCGGGTCATCAGTTCTCCTCCAGGCTCAGTCAGAACGGGGAAAGGCTCTGTCCCCCAAGGTGTTGTGCTTATTTTCCCATCTGCCCCATGGATCTGCCTGTGGGGCTCAGCTTTTGTCCCACTGCAGAGGAGATGCTTGGGCACCCCTGCTCCCTCTCTTGACCCCGGGCAGGGCAGGCTCGCTGAATTGGAGACAGGAAGGCAGGTTCTGATAAACCCTTAGAAAAAACATAGGGGGGGGGGGTTTAAGAGCAGCTTGGCAGCAGAGCCAGTACCCCGGAGGGAGGGGCGGTCCCCTTGCCTGAATTTGGCTCCCTCCCTGAGTAAGGAGGGGGGCAGGATGGCCTCCAAGGCAGGTCCCAAGTTTCCATTTCATAACCTCCTATTCACCCAAGATGACCCTTCTACATCCCGGGGGGGGGGGGGGGCTGCCCCTCCTGCCTTCTCTCTCCAGACTTTGTGGTGGACCAAACGCAGGCAGTGAAATTCGCCCTGGACGTCTCTCGGGGAATGGCCTTCCTGCACACCTTGGAACCGCTCCTCCCGCGCCACTATCTTAACAGCCGTGGCATCATGGTCAGTTGGGGGGCAGGGAGGGAGTTTGGCACACTGGGCAGAGCGGACTCAGGGCACAGCCTCACCCGCCTCTTGCCCAGAACAGATAGACGAGGACATGACGGCCAGGATCGGCATGGCGGATGTGAAGTTTTCCTTCCAGTGTCCGGGCAGGATGTATGCCCCAGCTTGGGTGGCACCAGAAGGTGAGCGGGGAGGGGGGGGGAGCAAGGGCTTCTCCGCTTCCCCAGCCGAGCCCTTCCACAGCTTCTCCCAGGCAGCTCCTCCAACCCTCCCCCTCTCCTCACAGCTCTACAGAAGAAGGCCGAGGAGATTAACCGGCGCTCGGCAGACATGTGGAGTTTTGCGGTGCTCCTCTGGGAACTGGTGACCCGGGAAGTGCCATTCGCTGACCTCTCCAACATGGAGATCGGCATGAAGGTGAGCTTTGGGGGAGGACGAATGGGTCTTGCCCGGCTGTCCAGCGGGTGCCAGCGAGTTCTGGTGTCTCTTTGCAGGTTGCCCTGGAGGGGCTGCGGCCCACCATCCCCCCCGGCATCTCCCCTCATATTTGCAAGCTGATGAAGATCTGCATGAATGAAGACCCTGCCAAGCGCCCCAAATTTGACATGATTGTCCCTATTCTCGAAAAGATGCAGGAGAAGTGAGGGGCCCGTCTGGCAGCCCCTGGCCGGCCCTAAGTGCCTTCAGGAAGAGCTGCGGCACGGAGGGCTCCCTGCGCACGGTACGGATGAAGGGGCTGCCCGCTGAGGGCAGGCTCCGGCAGGGCGCTGCTCAGCCTTGCACCCTCCCTTCTGCCTTCACGCCCTGCATCATCTCCGGCCACCTCTTGTGCCAAGATCACCCAGCACTCCCACCTGGCTATGCTACCGGTTTTATATTTTCTACACAGGCCCAGGACGAAGTCCCCTGTGGCCCAAATAAACAGCTGTCACTGAAGGAGGAGGGACTTCTGTGCTGCTTCCGCAGGGAGGGGATCCGGGCCATTAAGGGCTGCCCGCTGAACCAGTGCGGGCAAGTGCATCTGCAAAGGCAGCAGCGTCCGGCCTCTCTGGCCGTGATCCTTTGGCCACAGAGATGCTACTGGTCTGCAAGGGGCATCTTTTCCCCTTGCCAAACGGCAGCCAGGCAGAGCCCCCCCCCCCAGAACAAAAGGCTGCCTGGGGGGGGAGGTTGACTGCCTGCAGGCTGCCTCCAGCAACTAGGGAAGAGAGGTAGGAGGATACGCCTCTCCTCCAAGAGGGAAGCCCCTGTTGCTGACCCCTGGGGATGGGCACTCTGTAATGATGAAGGCTGTGGGGCACTGGGGATGCTGGCGTAAGGCCCTCCTCGGGAGGGAGGGGGCTGATGCTGGAGGGAGGCACCAGCAAAGCATGCCCCATTCAGTGAGCATCCGCCCCCATTCAGTGGGTATCCTCTGCCCACCAGCCCTGCTGGCCAGGAATACCGCAGCAGCAGCAGAGCACCCAATGACAGGGCAGCAGGGGGTCCTACCAGAAACCAAAGCAAAGGGGGGGGCAAAGAGACTTTAATAAAGAATGGGGTGGGGGAAGGACCTTCAGGTGAAATAATGGGGCTTCTTCACGTTGATGCCATACTCGGCCAGTGCAGGGGCCAGATCCTCCATGGTCAGCGTGTGCTTCTTGTCCTGGGAGAAGGAGAGATGGCAGCAACTGAGGGGTCAGTGCCTGCTCCCCAAAGCGCCCCGCCCACACCCACCCACACACCCACCTTGCTCTTGTTGCGGGAGCTGCAGGAGGCCGTGCCCTTCATCTTGCAGTGCTGCAGGGCGTCGTTGGCCACGTCCGAGATGAACTTCTGGGCTGCCAGCGAGACCAGCCGGATGCTGCGGGGCGGGAGGGGAGGGAGGGGAGGGTTGGCTTGGCTCGGCCCGGCCCGGCCGGACTCGCCCTGGGGCCCTGGGAGCCCCGCCACACTTACATGCGCGGGTCCGACGCCTCGAAGCCGGCGCGGTTCAGGTAGTAGCCGGTCACGGCGTCCGGGATCTGCAAGCGCGGGGCAAAGTCAGGCGGGAACGGGGCCGCCACCCACCGCCGCCGCCACCCCCGGCACCCACCGTGGGCGTGTAGTCCTCCAACTGCAGCAGGAAGTCCACGAGCGGCGCGCCGGACGAAGCCGAGCCGAGCGGCGGGGCGGCGGCGGCGGCGGCCTTGGCCTCCCCGTTGGCGGCGCCCGCGTGTGGCGCGAAGACTCCGTTGGGCAGCGGCGGCGGCGGCGGCGGGGGGCCCTCGACGGGCTGCGCCAGGGAGGAGGCNGCCGCTGCTAGTGCCCGCCCCGCTGGCGCTCATGGATACGGCGAGCTCCGGCGGCGGCGGCAAGGCGGCTTCTGCGCAGGCGCGCCGGACCCCGGAAGCGGGGCGGGGCGGACGCGGCTCCTCCCCTCCGGCGCCCAGCTCGCGGGGCGGGGGCGGGGGCGGGGTTTGCCCAGGAGGGCGGGCTGGAGCGGGGGCGGGGCCTCCTTTACGCTCCGGTCCAGAGCCGCCCGGAGGTCCGAGGCGGCCGTGCGGGGTCTCCCTCCGTCGGGCCCGGAACGGCTGGGAGACGGCCCGGCCGATGCCGCCACCAGCACCGGCCGAACTGGGCCTGCAGCCACCGGAGGGAGAGTCCTGAAGGACCCTGAAGTAACAGTCGCAGCCGCTGCTTCGAAGCGCTTCTGGCACGTCGGGGCAAAACCTTCCATGCCCGGATCCGGTGAGCCTCGCCCGGCCGCTTTCCTTGTTGGCACCTGATTGGGCAGAATCTCGCCAAGCAAAAACTATGATCTTTCAATCTAATCTAAGCTGCCCAGACGAATCCCGGGGGGGGGTCTCTGGGGGTGGCTACCGTGAACCGACCCACCCCCCGGGGCTCCGCCGCCTCTCGATCCGGGCCTCCCAGTTGGGAAAACGCCCCCCGCCCGCCCTCCTTCCCTCCCCCCACGGGGCTGCTGCTTCTCCTCCCCCCCCCCACCTGCAGTACAGTCAATTACACTCCGATTTCAGCGCAGCTTTTCACCAAGTAGCCCAGAATGAAACATGGACCGGATGGCACGATAGGCGAAGACACGGCCGGCTTAAAAATAATTTTCAAAACGCCCAATGACTTCTCATCAAATTGGGAAAATATTTTTAGTGATCAAAGGATCAGTCAGAGTTCCTTTATTTTTCAGTATTTTTATTAATCGTCGTAATGGAGAAAATACTTTTCAGATCTGTACATGATACAAAACTGGGTGGGACGAGTACCGCAAATGTAATTTGAGGCCCAATCAACACAAGCGGTTTCTGCAGCGTGCAGCTTCTTAAGATTTTGAGAAATAACCACTTTGGTTTCTTCTCCTTTATGTGATCTGCCCAGCTCTGGGCAACGCATTTTAGGATTCAGAGAACTTGGAGCAGGTTAAAGAGAAGGAGAAAGATGACCCGGGGCCTGGAAACCAAGACAGACTACAAAGGAAGTGGGAATGAGGGGGTCTTGGTGCTCTCTCAGCTTGGTGGTTTCCTTGCGGCCATTTCATGATCAAACTACGTAACGTCATCAGTGCTGGAAGGAAGGAAGGGAGGGGCCTTTTATACACTATGGCGGCTCGCCCTGTCAGTGCTGGCGGGAGTGATCCTGGCCTGTGGACAATGGAAAGCGCTTGGCCTTCTTCCGGGCCACTTCAGAGTTCCAGGATGCCTTTTACTCCAGTGTGTGTGGAAGACAAAACCATGGATTTAAGTTTCAGGAAGGCAGATGACTGGACAGTGGACCTTGCTTTTGGAGAGATGGGGGTGATGCGGTCAAGCCGTGTCCGATAAGGCTTGTATCTGAATTCCTGCCATGATTAGGGCTTGGACCTGATGGCTTCAACAGCACCAACTGACCTGGGATTTGGGACAATTTCTTCCTGGTGGGCCAGGACCGTCTCTTGCCCCAAATATAGCTGTGCGATGTGAAGCGTTCCTACCGAGTCCCAAGGCTTCTAGGTGGGCCAGGGGCTGTCTGCAGTGCCTAATGGGAAGCTGGTGGTTGGGGCATTTGTGCTCAAAAGAGGGTGGGGGTCTATTGCAAGCCTCCCAATGCCCCACATACTGGCAACATCACATTTCACACCTAAAATAGGATTCTGCATTCAAAGCATTGAAAACCTTTGCACAGCACTAACACACCCACACCCCGCTTCCTTTGCCCCCATGAGCCCCAAAGACCACATTGTATGGCTGGCAGTGGCTGGTCACCAGCCCCCGATCTCTTGGGATTAGTCCCCGACAAGACCACCTCCTAGTTCCCACTTGGAAAAGAGGAACCCCTTAGGGCAGGAGAAGGATAACCACCACCACCCCATGTGCCACTGTAGCCTCCCAGTCACCAACCCCCCCACACACATACACCCCGTCCATTCCCTCCCCCCCCCCATCCTGACTGCAAAGCAGACCGCCAGCAAGGCATGCCCAAGCCATGCCATGCTAGCCCAGGAGGCCACGCAGCAGCTGAGGGAAGTTGGGGGTCCCCCAGCCTGTGACGGGGTCCCAAGCAGGGGCGGCACAGAAACCTTCGCCTTGCACAGCAGCATCCAGGCAGGACAGATGGCATCCATGGGTCACCTAGGGGGAGGCAGAGGAAGGGGGGCTTTTATCACCTGCCCAATATTCAGGATCCCGTTCAGCCAAGCCCGCTTCTCTTTCTAGCTGCCATGCCTGACAGCAAGATCACAGGCTGCCCCCCCCCCCCCCCCCCCGGGATCGGGCTCCCAAGCTGCACCCCCCCCAGGCACTCACGTCGTAGAGGGCAGTGCTGTTCCCTCCTTCCTGGAGCCGGTACAGGGCAGGGTTGAGGAAGCCCAAGGCAGGCAGCCCTCGCTGCAAGCGCCAGTCGTTGATCAGGGCAACGATGCCCCCCACCACGGGAGTGGAGGCCTGGGGGTGGGGAAAAGCAGGAAGGTCACCAGGGGCCAGCAGGCTCCCCCAGCCCAGCAGACAGACAGACAGACAGCCGAGGCCATGGGAGAAGGCCAGCAGCGAGGGCCGCATACGCACAGAGGTGCCCGAGACCCAGGGCATGGGGACGTGGTTGGTCACCACCCAGTAGTTGTCCGAGAGGGCCGCCAAATCCGGATAGGCTCTGCCTGTGCTGTTGTAATAGCTGGCGGGGGGCAGCCGAGGCGACGTGCTCAAGAAACGCTTCACGGCCGTTACCTGTGGGCAGGAAAAGGGGGCAGCCTGTCTACTGCTCCTCCAGCAGGCAGCCTCCTGCCCCACAAGGACCTCTGTGGGCCGCTTGCCAGCCACGGCTCTTGTGCTTTGCAACCAAAGGCCTCTCACTGCCACTGCTGGGGGGCGGGCGGGGGTGGGATGGCTCTGCCTCTTGACTCACCTGGTAGTCGGGCATGGGGAAGACGTTGCTAAACCCTCCTCCGCTGATGTAGTCTGCCACCTCAGCGCCCACCAGGAAGGGCTGCCGGAAGGCCGTGCCCCCAACGGTTGTCACATAAGGGCTGTAAAGCAGGTGAAGCTTTGGGGTCTCCCCAGCCTGGTGCCCGGCCCTGCAGCCACCCATCCGACCCCTGAGGCAGGAAGGGGGCAGGAGCCCACCCAATGGGAGTGGGCACCAGAGATGGCCGCCTGCACCACCGGCCAGGCCGATCAAATTCTGCTGCTCTTCGCTGCCACCTCCAGCCTCCAGCAGCAGCCCCTCCCTCACCGGCTGCCCAGCCCGTCCCTTCAGAGGAAACGGGATGGATGCACGAAGGGTCCGAAGAGCCCCCAGCCCCAGGCCCTTTCTCCTCACCTGGAGGCTGGGAAGCTGGGCCGGAAGACATGCTTCCCCCCCGAGATCGCACGGCAGCCGGCCCCCGAGTCACCTGCAGGAGGGGGTCAAAGAAACCCTGGTCACTTTCCTCCTCCCTTTCCAGCCACTTAATTCTTTTATTTATTTGTTACATTTATTTGCTGCCTATCTCTCCATGGTGTAAGGTGGCTTACAACAATAAAAAGAAAAAAATGAAGAGTGTAAACAGAAATAAAATAGTAGGATAATAAAATAATGAAAAAGAACACAATGAGGCTCCGTAGATTATACACACACACACACACACACACACATTTACATACCTTCACCCATACATATATATACATATATATATGTGGGTGAAGGTATATGAATACCATGTGTACATTTGTGCTATGTATGTGTACAGGTAGATGTATACTTTCTTTTGAGAACAGGCAACAGAATTTCATTTTTAATGTGTGCTCACAATAAAAGTTATCTCTCTAGATGAGATAACCAAAAAGATGGGCGGGTGGAGAGCAGGGTGCAAGGGAGGGGGGGGAGGTGGAGTCTGCCGTCAATCCAGCAGCCCCCTCCAGTGTGGAACCGGCCCGTCTGGACCCCAGGCTAATCAGCAGGGCCAGGCCTTCAGGCTCGGAGGGAAGGAGGTTGGGGCAGATCTTGCCCTGGAGGGCAGGCTGTGCCAAAGGGCAGAAGGCTCTTCCTCTGGATCCCGATAGTTGGGAGCTCTTTGACTGATGGGATCCAAAGGCGCCCTTCTCTGCCGGCACAAGTAGGAGGGCTGGCCTGGACTGGTGTGCCACTGAGGGAGGGCTTTAAAGGTCACAAGCAACACCTTGAACTGCACTCGGAAAGGGAGCAGAGGTGTACTATGGGCCATCCAGCTGAAGCTTGCAAAAGGATTTCAAGGGTAGTCCCATGTACAATGCATTGCAGTAGTCCAGACAAGAAATGACCAGGGCTTAAATAACTTAGTGCAAGAAGTGCTGATCTGGAAAAGGTCGCAGCTGGTGCACAAACCGGAGCTGTGCAAAAGCTCTCCTGGTCACGACCACCCCTGGTTCTTCAAGCAGGAGACGCAACTCTGGGAGAACTGAAGTGGCGAATTGGGCCTGGATGGGGAAGTGCAACCCTGTCCATGGTTAAGGGTGACAAAGGCTTGCCACCCGCTGCTCGCCTTGGCATGGCTGCCCTGGTCTCCTGCTGGCTGCCCTGAAGTGGCGTCTGGGCACGGGGCTGGCGGCCCTTTGTTCCCAGCCTGGGGGGGGGGGAGGCCTGCACGCACCTGAGGCAAACAGGATGCTGATACCGCGGGCGGCCGCCTTCATGAACTCTGTGTTTACCCGCTTCATGTAGGCCTGAGAGAGGCTGTCCTCATCGTCCCCGTAGCTGACCGAGTGGACCCACGGCAGCCCACTGGTGTTGCTGAGCAGGAGCAGCCACTGCAGGAAGGGTTCCTGGCTCTCGTGGCGACCTGGCAGGACCACAGAGGAGGAGGAGGAGTTGCCTTCATCCAGGCAACCCTCCCCACCTCCACAAAGCCCCTCCCCCACAGCCTCTGGCCTCTCCTGGGGCAGCCAGACCAGACCAGAAGCTGCACTGGGCTGAGGAGAGGAGAATACCTGCATTGCTGAAGACCCAGGTGGAGATGTTGGCTCCTGTGCTCATGAGATACTCCACGTCCAGACTGGCCTCCAGGCCGGCTGAGCCAGAGCCCTGGTGGCCAATGACGTGGTTGACCTGGGAGTGGTGGGGGAACGTCCTGCCAAACAGCTGCATGAATTCAGCCAGGTCGGCCTGGTGGAAGTACTGCTCCAGGAACTGGCAGAGAAGAAGCCGTGGGGCTCAGCGGCTGCCCTCCAGTGCAGCCCAGAGATGAGCACGCCCGGCAGGGATACGGCCTGGCCAGAGCAGCAGCCTAGAGCTCAGCCTGCCAGCCCCCTGCCCTCCAAATGCCAAGTGGGAAGGTTGGGCCCCTACCTGGGCACAGGCCTGGCTGTTGTGCGAGAAGTTGCCCACATCCGCCCGGGTCAGGTTGTATCGCTGGCGGAGCACAGCCGGGGTCACGCCCAGGTGGAAACTGGACCGCCCGTCCTGTCCTCCCACTGGCGACTTCTCCACGGCCCAGGCCCGGCTCACCACCTTCTGCTCGGCTGGGAAACGGTGCAGCCCCCCCACTTAGAAGGGGCGAGACAGAAAAGGGAGGTCACTGTTGCCTACGGCAGATGAGGCCCACCCAGCAAAACATCAGAAGAGAGCCCCTGAATCAGCCAACTCAGCCCCCCCCCGAGGCGCCCTACCAAAATCCACGTGGTCCGCTAGGTCCCGATCAAGCTGGTAAGGCAGGGGGGACCTTATGACCCTGCGAGCGTCTTTCGCGTAACGGTGAAACTGCGCTCCCGGGAGAAGGCGCTCAGCTGTGCTGCAGGTGGAAATCCAGAGCTCAGGCGCCCCCAGTCTTCTTGCGGGCTGCCCGGCCAGCCTCCCCAGACCTGGCCCAACTCACCTGGCTGGCATCGAGCACTGCAGAAAGTCCAGGGTGCGGACTCTCTGGCAGTCCCGGACCCCGTGAGTCGCCAGCCACTTGTCCATGCTGCCCAGCGTCCAAGGAGAGGGGGAGACCAAGGCACTCACCTCGGCCAGCGAGAGGAAGTGCCCTGCGCAAGGGGTGGAGAGAAGAGGCAGGTCTTCAGGGGGTGGTTCTGTCCTACATCCCCACAGGACGTTGGGGGGGCTGGTTGTGCAGCCCTCCTCTGTCCCTCAGCCCCCCCTCCAGCGGCTCTTCCAGGTGACTAGTCACTGCAGGGCAGCAGAGCCCCCCCCCCCGCCCCATGGGAAGTCTTGTCGAAGGCTGCTCTGGACTCTAAAATTCCCAGGCCTTTGAGGCAAAGCTCCCTGGAGCCACCGTCCCCCCCGCCTCCTTCCAGAAAGGACCCCCAATGACCCCACCCCCAGGAAAGAGGAGGCTGCCGGCTGGATAAGCGAAGTCCAGGGGTCTCCTATGGCCTCCCCAGGAGGAGACGGCGGCTGGGTGGTCGAGGCTCCTCAACCAGACACCCTCTCCCGCTTCTAGGGTCCCGGGCTATCGGGCTGGAAGTCGGATCTGGGCCCCCAAAAGCAGCTCCCGCAGGCAGGCAGGCAGGCAGGCAGGCAGGCGGGGGTACGCAGCCGGAGCCGCAGCAGGCGCCCGTACCGTAGTCGGGCGAGTCGGGCGAGGAGACGCGGCGCACCAGCTCGCTCAGCCGCTCCACGTTCCGTTGCCGAAGCGCAAAAGTCAGGCTCAGCCGCTCGGAGGGGGCCGCGCGGCCCAGGGAGGACCACCCTTCGGGGATCCTAGGGGGAGACGGAGGTGGTCACGCGCCGGGAGCCCCGGCAGTTCTGCAGGGGCGGGGAGGAATCCAGCCCCGGCCGGCCAAGCCTCCTGCCAAGCCCGCAGCTTCTCGCTCACCGGAAGGGCTGGTCCGGCTCCGGAGCCGGGACGGCGGCGGCGGCGGCGCTGGAGCGGAGGAAGGCTGGCGAGAGGAACAGCAGCAGCAGCAGCGGCGGCGGCGGCGACAAGTGGCGGCGTCTGGACGGGGCGGGACGGGGCGGCGGAGGGGGATCCAGACAGGCGAGGACGACCGGCCGCCCCCTCCGGCCGCCCCCCTCGGACCGACCCCTGCCCACCGCTCTCGCTGCGCCCCGGAACTCCGACCGCGCCATCCCAACCGAAGGTGCCCCGAGTCAGGCGCTTGCTGTCACGTGACTGGGGGCGGACGGTGAGGGGGCGGAGATTGGCGGCCCTTTGCGCGTGCTCAGAGGCTGCGCTAAGGCTCCGGCTCCTCCCGGCGGCGGGTGCTGTGGCTTCCGGCGGGGGGGGGTTCGGCCGGCGCGGGTCTTTCGAGAGCCGTCGGGGAAGCTCCCTCTCTTCTCTGGAGCGATCGCTCGGCCGGGACTCGCTGCTTGGAGGAGCCCTTCTCCTTCTGCAGTTGCGCTTCCCCCCGTCGGACAGCAGCGACGACGGCGTCACCCCCCCCCGTCTCGCCGTCGTTACCGCAGACGCTGCTGGCCTGCGGGGGGGGGCGAGGGGGATTCATTCCAGGGAAGAGCGAGCCCGAAGCTCCGCTGCAGCACTCGGGGAGCCGCGGGGCCCGGAGAAGGAGGACAGAGTCGCCCTGGGAGGATCGGTGCCTCCCCCGGCGGCTCCTGCGCAGGGTTGGGATGGCGGGGCGGCCTGGCCCGCCGGAGGGCTCGGGTGGGCCCCGTCCGGGATCCATCTGTGCTGGAGAGTAGCTGAACTGCCGGTCTTCAGCGGACCTCGCACACCTTCCCTTGCTCGTCTCCATCCGCAGCCCAGCTACAAAATGCAGAATAGCAGAGCTGGAAGGGACCTTGGAGGTCATCTAGTCCAGGGCTTTTCAATCTTTTCACCCATTGTACCACTTTTAGGATACAGCAACGTCCGAGTACCACCAGTCGCCTAGCAAGGTGTCAAAAACTTGATGACCGAAAAAAGAAAAAGAAAAAAGTGATAAAGTACAGGTAGTCCTCGACTTACAACAGTTCCCTTAGTGACTGTTCGAAGTTACGGCACTGAAAAAAGTGACTTATGACCATTTTTCACACTTACAACCGTTTCAGCGTTCCCAGGGTCATATGATTTCATTTGGATGCGTGGCAACTGATTCATATTTATGATGGCTGCAGTGTCTCAAGGTCATGTGATCCCCTTTTGCAACCTTTTGACAAGCAAAGTCAATGGGGAAACCAGATTCACTTAACAACCTTTTATATCAGGGGTGTCAAACTCAATTTCATTGAGGTCCGCATTAGCATTGTGGTTACCTTGTGGGGGGGGTGTTCCTTCCCGTCTAGTTACCAGCAGAGGTCACTCTAGGGTGCCATCAACGCTCTCTCTTGGTCTGAGTCCTGGCTGAAAGAGATCCAGATAATCCTCCAGACAGAGTCTCCCAAAGCTGTAGTCAGTGCAACCAGCCTCTCGTCAAGTGGGATCAAGTAAGGGCCCCTTGAGAAGCGGGTCACCTCCTTGGAAAGTCTGAGTGATTTTATCCGTCAGATGTTCAGCATATTCCTCACAGCGACCCATACAGGAACCTCTGGTTTACTCCTTTCAAGGGGTGTCTAGGTCACCCAATACAGGGCCACCAAGCAGCTCTCTGCAAACAAAGTAAGGGTGGAGAAATATTCATCATCCTTGCCGCCATGAGCTGGGCTGGAACAGCGGCTCCAGCCCCATTGCGCTCCGAAGCCAAATAGTGACTTGTGCAGCTCTCGCAACGGGTGTTGCAGGACTACGTTGATTGGCACCCATAACTGTTCAAGCTACAGGTTTTGGGTGGACTTCAAGGGCAGCCCCAGAGAGGGCATACTGCAATTCTCCACAGGAAGTGGTGGTCAGTTGGGTTGGCTCTAGACCTTTTGGCACCCTGGGCAGTCATATTCTGGCACCTTCCATTTTATGCCTTCCATTTTTATTAGAAATTTCAAAAAGTCACTCTCTCATTTCATTTTCTCTTCCAAGATGTTAATCTTTACAGTTGAATTTTCAGCCATGGACATTTTTTCCCTTTCTCAGCCCAGAGTTGCTTTGCAGAGTGAGATGGCGGCATATAAATTAAATAAATAATATTTTACCCTATTTACATGGTATATGCAGTTGTAAGAGCAGCAGCAGCAGCAGCCATTGTTGCTATATAGCAAAAAATTCTGCAAAATAATATTAAATCTCAAGCGAGCACACTAACTCCCGTTACTGCTTTTTTATTGTATTTTTCAGCCTTTTCAATTTAGGAACTCACTAAAATTTGACTCCCCCAGGTGGGCTCCCACTTGGTAGTCAGGACATCCTGATTCAGACCTCTCTGCCAAGACCCAGAAGTCCTCAAGTCGCCTCTTGATCAGCTGTCATGGCTGCCTTGGTTCTTTACCTTCACCAGATGATTGTGTGGAAAATTGCTGAGGCATTTGTTCAACAAATTAAATTTCTTTTTAACTTGATCTGGGCCGAAATTGATTTGTGGTCACCTCTTAGCATAGCTGGCACCAGATTTTACTTCCTTCCTTTTCCAGGCTCAGCCTGGTGCCTTTTTTTTTTTTTTCAATGAACTGTTCCAGATGGCTCCTCCCACCCCGAAAGAATTTGCTATCTGCGGCTGTGAGAAAAGTGGGGCAGGGCGCCCCTGGTGGAGGAGCACCATCCAGGGCGCCCTTCTGCCTCCTGGCACCCTCTTCTGCCAGGGCAAGTGGGCCCGCCTGGCACCCGAGGACACAGGAGCCCGCTTGGGCTGCCTCCCCGGCCGCTTCCCTGCTCTGGCCAAAGCAGACGAGAGAGAGAGAGGGAGGGAGGTCTGGTTACACGGCGTGGTTTATTAAGGCATTAATTATGTCAAGAACTTGGCACTTGGGTTCTGGTCCATCAACAGGAGGGCCAGGATGGGCAGCGCCCACCACTCGGGCTGTCCAGCCACACACAAAAGGATACATAGAGAAAACGGGACAATAAATAAGAGGCCCCTCCCCTCCCTCCCCCCCCCCCGCTGGAGTGGCAAGCTGAAAAGAGCTTGGCAAAGTCCGGGTTGTGCCTACGTAACAGGAGCGAAGGAGCAGAAAAAGGGTCCCTTGGGTGGAAAGGACCTTTCCCCGCCCACAGCCCCCACCCTCCCCATCAGCCCTTCTGGGATTCCCCCCTCCCGGGTCCCCTGCAGGAAGAGCCCAGAGCTCAGTGTGCAGCGCCCCCTGGAGGCAGCAGCGAGTGGGGACCACAACCGGAAGGACTCCGCACCCCTCCCGCGGGCTCTGCCACTCCTGAAGCCCCGAGGCGGCGTGGGGAGGCCAGCAGGAGCCCAGAGCAGAGGCCAGGAAGGGACCCGAAGGCATCCCGTTCTCCCGCGAGGCCAGTTTCCTAGGGACGTCTGTTGGGATGAGACATCCCAGAGGGAGCTTGGTCTGCCTCTGAAGCGGTTACTTCTGCCTTCCCAGGCACCCTGCGCTCACTCCCACTGCTATGGGGGAAGAGCTGGAGGGCGTTATTATTGCTCTATGTCAATCAGTACCATTGATCCTCCCCCCCCCCCCCCGTTTAGGAAAGAGTTACTGCATGCTGCCAGCACGGCTAGAGAGGCATCTGTTGCCCTCCACAGCACCATACAAACTTCCTGAATTGCAGGGGGGGGGGCTTTGGGATCAGGGTGTCTTGCTGTCTCATCTGCCTGCAAGGGGGGAGGCCCAAAGTCCCAGGGAAGCAGGGTTGGCATGACTGGCCTTCTCTTGGTCCAGACTGGACATCCAGCAGAGCATCCCAGCCCGTGTGCCACAAGGGGAGTGTGCCATCTAGTCTATGTGTGCTCCTGCAAGCAGACCCCACTGGCAGGCACGCCCTGCACAAAAAGTCTCCTTGGAACTGCAGCTTCCCTGAGGCCAGGGAGCAGCAGGACTCCATGCGAGGCAGGGCCGGCCGAGGCAAGGCCAACGTCCCCTGAAGTGGCCACTGCTCGGGCCCGTGCCCGGATACCACTGAGGGCGACTCCTGGGCTGGCCCTAAATGCGGAGCTCTGCCTCTTCGGGGGCCTCCAAGGAGTGCTCAATGCTTATGGTGGAGGAGGCAGTGGGCCCCTGGGAGACCCCAAAAGGGGACACCATGGGAGATCGGGCAGCTAGAGGGGAGAGGGAGGGGGAGAAGCTGGGAGACATGGCTGCCGAGGAGAGGGAGCCCTCGTGGCTGATGGGAGACCGTCGGAGGGAGGACAGGTGGGGGAAAGCCCGGCCTACTGCTGGCTTGGGGGGCACTGACTTGGCCCCGGGGTGAGCCACAGAAGTGATGAGGGGAGGGGGGTCAATGCGGGGCTTGGGCTTGGCAGGAAAGGGCTTGCGCAGGGAGCTCTCGTCCTTGAGGCGGGCGATCTCTGTGAACACGCTGGCTAGTGGCTGGAACTGAGGACACCAGTTCAGGAGATAGTCCCAGTTGTAGCTGCCACGCAGCTCCTCGTCGCTCGCCACAATGGCAGTCAGGGAGCCGTCCACGCAAGGTTTCCCGTCCTCTGGAAAAGAGTAGTCCTTGGTGGAGGGGACACTGAGGCCGCAACCAGTGCCCAGGTAGGCCCCACTGCTGCCACTGTCATCCCGGTAGAGTTGCGGGGGCTGCCCAGGAAGCAGCAGACTTGGCCCCTTCCTGTTCTTGAACCAGTGTGTGGCATCAAGCGTGGTCGGCTCACAGGAGATGTCAGAAAGGCGATCAGCATCTGTTTGGATGCCAGAATCAGGCCCACGTGTTACAAGATGCTCCTGCAGGGAAGAGGTGACGCTGGACATGCGGGGGCATTCGTTGATCATACGGATCTCGTCATCCTCGGCAGCTTCAGCTGAGCCTCGCCCACTTGAGTGGGATGGGTCCAGTGATCCCCCTCTTGTGGTATAGGCTCCCCCAGAATCTGTACCATAGCCAGGCAGTGCCTCATGGTACAGACAGTCCCCCCCAGGTAGGGCTGGGTCTGCATGGCCCAATTTCTGCATGGAGCCACTCTGCATGTGTGCCAAATCGGCTTCCTTATGGCCACGGCCCTGCTGTGACCGGAGAAGAGCGAGCACAATGGCCACGGCGGCCAGCACCACCACCACACTGAGCGAGGCAGCCACCGCTATCACCAGCAGCAAGTTGAGGTCAGGCACCAGGCCAAAGGCCGTGTGTGTCACATCAATGGTGACCTGAGTGGAGGCTGAACGAGAGGCATGTAGGGGGCTGTGGGCTTGTACCTCCAGGACCATCTGCCGTGGTTCTGACCTGGTGGGGCCCCCCGAAGGCACCTGGCTGTCCATCTGTAGATACAGGATCCCGCTCGTTTCATTGATCCCAAAGAATGGGGATGGCTTGGTCAGAGCATAGAGGACAACCCCATCCGGGCCCTCATCCTCGTCTGTGGCAGTCACATGCCCTATACTTTGGCCCCGATGTGCCCCCTCTGGAACATCAAAGTGGAAGCTTGAGCTGAGGAAGACAGGGTCATACTCATCTTCCCCAGTGACCAAGACACGCACTGTGACTGTTGCAGAGCCATTGCCAGGGTCCGTGGCCTGCACAAGCAGCTGGAAAGCCTTGCTCCGCTCATAGTCAAAGGGCAGGCGTGAATGTAGCTCCCCAGAACTGCTGTTGATGTCAAAGACACCCCAGTCCTCTGCCTGCAGAAGTGTGTAATGCAGCTCCCCAAAGATCCCAACATCAGGGTCCACTGCACGGATGGTGGTAACCAGGCTTCCTGGAGGTAGGTTTTCCCTCAGGCTGGTGCTCAGCATGTCTATCGGAAAGTAGGGCAGGTTGTCGTTCACGTCCTTCACCTCCACGGCCACGGATGCCAGGGCAAAATGCCCACTGGCTCCGTCTGAGGCCTGAATCACCAGGCTGTGCTGGGCCCATTTCTCACAGTCCAGAGCCTTGACCAGGCGAAGTGCTCCTGAGGATGGATGCAGCTGGAAGAGCCCACTGGGGTCACCGGAGCTGATGCTGTACTGCACTTGCCCATGCAGGCCCAAGTCGGGGTCGTGGGCTGCCACCCGCAGCAGCTCTGTGCCAGGCATGGTGCTCTCACTCACAGTCATGTGATAAGCAGAGCGCCCAAAGACAGGTGGGTTGTCATTGACATCCAGCACAGTGAGAACCACGGGCACTATGGCACTGTGCTGTGGCACTCCTCGGTCAGCCACTGCCACAGTGAGGTTGTAGAGGGCCATACCCTCAAAATCAAGGGGTTCAATCAGGATCAAGGCACTGGGCTCGCCCACGTGGCCCTCCAGCTGGAAAGCATGACCACTGTTCCCGCTCACAATCGTGTAATCCAGGGCGGCGTTGTCCCGAGTCACATCAGCATCTGTGGCTTCTAGGGTCAGCAGGATCGTTCCTGGGCGCAGGTCCTCTGTCACAGAGGCATTGTACTGAGGTTTCAAGAATTGAGGCCTGTGGTCATTCACATCCAGGACCTGGATCTGCACAGAGGCCCAGGCTGAGAGACGGGGGAGACCGTGATCACAAGCTTCCACCACTAAATCCAGCGTGGGATGTTCCAGCTCCAGCATCAGACGCTGGGTGGTGAACAAGGTTCCTGTAAGGCAGCAGAAGGAACAGTTGGAATTTGGAAAGGAGGAAGACCTTGGTGGAAGGGCTGGAGCCAACGCCTGATAAGGAGGCTTGCAGCCCCTTACACCCAATCTAGGGACAACCTAGTAGAACAAGAGGGAAGCTAGGGCTGTCCTCCCTGGTAAAAAAAACAAGTTCCTTACTCCCAAACCAGCACGGGGTCTCCCTGAGCACGTACCATTGCTTGCATGGATGGCCACAAGATCACTTGCCGTGAGCAGTTGATAGGTGACTTCCCCGTTGGTGCCGGAGTCCAGGTCCGTGGCGCTGAGAGTCAGGAGGGGAGTGCCAGCAGGGGTTTGTTCTGGGATGAGCACCTGCAGGGGCAGTGCAAAACATGGCTGCTACTTCCTGGCATTTGCTGGCCATCAGGCATGACTCCTGGAATAGCTGGGGAACCCCTTCCTCACCCAGGGGTTTCTATGGCTCTCCTTTTAAAGTGGGGGCAGAAAGGCAGGGGCCACTTTGGGCAGGGCAGGATGCTCCCTCTACCCCCAAGACCAAGCTGGACACTATACAAAGCCCCCCTCCCCATTTCTCCTATTAACCCCATTTGTTCTATAGTCTGGGCTACTTTGCTTTTAAGGCTTCACTTCCATTAGTGGAGCAGGAACCTTTAGACAGCGCAGGAAAACTTTCCTCCACCCCAAGCAGAGGAGACCTATTTCCATTCCTGTTCTCACCTTGGGAGGAAAGAGGAACACCTGCCACTCTTTTCCACTCTTTCTTCTAGTCACTCCCTTCTTGGGGGGGGCACTCCAGAAAGGGTCTCTCCTGAAGGGACAGTGGGCTACTGCCTCTCCAGGGCCACCCTGGACAAGGGAAGCCTGAACCTAGAGAGGTGGGAAGGCAGGTACCTGGTAGAGCGCCTGGGCAAAGGTGGGTGCATTGTCATTCACATCCTCCACCAGCACCGTGAGGTTGGCCTCCGTCTCATGCTGGGAGTCAGAAGCGCGCACCGTGAGGGTGTAGTGATTACGCTGCTCATAGTCCAGGGGCTCTGTTAGCACAATATGGCCCCCATAGGGTAGGATGCTGAAGGTCCCGGTGTTGCCGCTGTCCAGGTAGAGTGCGTAGATGAGCTGTGGTCCACAGTCCACATCGTTCCCAGTCACCATGGTGATCTCGGTGCCTAGCAAGGTATCTGCAGGAGCAATGCAGGAACTCAATAAGCCACCTCTGGGAAGTATGGGCCCAAAGGGAGGCCCCGGCTTGCAGTGAGTCTCCAGTGGAACAGGACACGTTCAATCACCATGCAGGGACCCTTGAGCAGGCCCTCTTCCCTTCCAACCACTTACTCTCTGCTACCCGCACCTCCCAGGGTGCAGGGATGGTGGGACTATTGTCATTGAGATCCATCACCACCACCGTGAGTGTGGCTGAGCCCACAAGGGGAGGGTGTCCTCTGTCTGTTGCAGTCAGCACCAGCCTGTGGGGAACAGGACTCTGTCAGAGGTTTTGTGGGATGGCAGGCCCAGTTCAGATCTGCCCTAGAAAACAATTCCAGGGAAGGGCTTGTGTGGCACCACCACCTCCATTGTTCTTTCAGCTAGGGGTCCACTATTGTGTTCACCCACAGCATTTATCAAGTTGGGTATCAACTCAATTTCTCTGGGATCTGGGTCACCCAGACCTGCTACTTGGGAGCAGACTGACTCTCTGCCATGCCCTCCAGCCCTGACTGGCACCCCACGAGCTTTGTGTCAGCAGAGTTCTTCCAAGGTTTCGTGGTCCCTTCCCCGGTGGGTTGCAGGCTTCATAGGTTGCGAGAAACATGTGTTTTGTTAGTGTGTGCCAGACAATCTGAACGTAACAATGACTTTTGCAAAGGAGCACCTTTTACATCTCCACCTCCTTTTTCTAGAGCGGGGATGGGGGGGGGGGCTGAACCTCAGCAGTGCCTAGTTGGCTATGCTAGCAGCACAGCTTGTTTGAGCGGAGGGAGCAGAGAGTGACTCACCATGGACCCTCCCTGACCCCAGTACTGACTAAGTTAATGACTGCACAAGATTCAGCTGTCCACTATGTCAAGCCTTACCCGCCACTCCCAGGCAGCCAACCCCACTGGTCGTCTGCAGAAGTGCTAGGACTGGCTGGGAACGAGAGGTTGACTCACCGGGTCTGGGCCCAGATCTCCCTGTCCAGGATGGCTGCTGTGGTGATGGCTCCCGTCTGGGCATTGATTCGGTAGAGTCCGTCCATTGGCTGCGTCTGGTTGATCCTGTAGACCACCTGGCCATTGGGGCCCTGATCCAAATCATTGGCCACAACCTGCAGCCAGAGAAGCATAAGCACTGCCATCCCTGAAAGGATTCCCTCCTCCTCCTCCTCCTCCTCCTCCTCCAGCCCCGAGCCTCCAGGACCAGCACCTGCTTTCACCAGAGTACCTGGATGACCGGCAAGTCGTAGCCCTGGGCCTCCCCAACGAAGGCCACATAGTTCTGCAGCTGGAAGCGGGGATGGTTGTCATTCATGTCCTGCAGGTTGATGGTGACGGCCATGAAGCCAAAGGAGGCAGGGGACTCCGCTTGCATCACCAGGCGCAGGCGGGGCTGTAGCTCAAAGTCCAGCCCTTCAGCGTTGGAGACAGAAATCGCTCCTGGAGGGAGGCAAGGTGGGGCTGCTCTGTCCGAAGCTCCTGTTGGGTGACTGTCCAGCACTGACCATGCACACCCAACCCCTCCAGAAGCTGAGTGGGGTTGGCAGCCATCGGGGCAAGCAGGGCAACTTCCCCGTGGCTGCAGCGCAAGTGAGGCAAAGGGGGGGGGTCAGGGAAAGGGCTTCCTGGNGAGGGAGGGAGGGAGGGAGGGAGGGAGGGAAAGGGGCATCTACACATTTAATAGCACGACCCAAGTGGGTTCATGACCCTCAAGGCTGCCTCTTAGGCTCCAGGCCTTCTCTGCCACCTCCCTCCCTCTTCAGCTGTCTCTTCTCTTGTTCTTAGGCTCATTTGCACCCACGTGTGCACGTAGAAAAACGTCCCCCTGTCACCCCCATCCCCATCCCAGGGGGTGGTTCTGGAAGCAGGGAGGTGGCCCCAAGGCTGCTGAGTTTAGAAAAACAACAGATGACCAGCGATAATCATCTAGGTTCATCTAACTAGGAAACTCCTCTCTCTCTTGCATCAAAAGAGCAAGAAACACCAAACAAAACACTTACAAGTTGTACAAGTGGAGTGCTTCCTGCCGTCCACAATTAACTCAGTGCAGGGTCCAAGGGGAGGGGTCCTGGGTGGGATTCCAGGCCCAGAGTGGGACACCGGTGGGTCCCTGCCTGTGCATGGCCTCAAAGGCCCCCTCCCCACCAGGTCTCTCTCTCTCTAGCGACTTGGGGAGGCAAGTCTGCCGGTTTGAGGGGGGGCACTTGGAAGGGCATCCCTTGGACTCTTGGAAGGTGCAAAACAGAGGCAGCAAAAAAACCTGCCTCAAGATTGAATGACACAATTTCAAGGCAGCCGCAAAGTGGCTCTTCCAGCACCTGCCAATTCTGTGGCTTGCAGTCTAAGAGGAACTTCAGTTCCCATTGACTTAGTGGGCTAAGTATTCCCACAACTAAGCCCATTTTCTGATTTCATAGTCAGCCACATACTAATACATGGTCACCAGCACAAAGGAGTGTGCACGCACACACACGCGCACACACACACACACACACACGGCACAACTGTCATGTTCAGCAAATGCAGCCTTTGCTCTTGGATCATATTAAGCCCCTTCTGACATAGTTCCAGCAGAGAAGAAGTGGGAAAAGAGACCCTCCATAACTCTGGGGGGAAAGAAGGGCCGAATGGGGCCGCTCCTGCTCTCGTCCTCCAGCTGGTCAGCCAAGCAGAAGATCTTCCAGTCTGAAGATCACAAGGAAGCCACGAGTTTATTCAGCCACCTGGGTGGGCAACTTGTCTCAAACAGAGGCTGGGGGCTCAGGCTACCTGGCAAAGGAGCCTCGGGCAAGAGTCCCCGACTACACAGAACCAGGGCACACGCTCGCTTGGGGCAAGCCCGGCCTTTGATGAGGCCTCTGCCAGACTTGGCAAAATGTCCAGAGGGACAGCTGGGCACAGGGTCAGGAGCTTTTCAGCTGTTGGGATCCCAGGGTGGGAAGGAAGGAAGCCCATTTCTGGATTTCAAGGGCTTCCTCCATTTTGGCCATGGCGATGCCGTCTGCTGCATCCCCACCATGCCAAGAAAGCTGGCGCCGGCCACTTTCCACTCGGATCGTTGGAGAACTGTGGGGGGGAAGGGACCGTGGTTTTGTGGTTCTGCTTCTCACATGAGCTAGCTAGAAGGGAAGACCAGGGAGAAGAAGGCCTAGAAGCCGGACCCCACTGGATGAGACCCCTGGCCCATCTCAACCAGCAGCCTGTTCTCCAATGACCCTCTGACTGCCCAAGGAAGCCCGCTGGTCTCCCGGCAGGGGCCCCTCAGAGGCCTCCTCGTGGGCATTCAGGAAGACAGTTTCTGATCACGCCATCATTTCCATGAATCGATCCAGCAGCTTTTTGAAGCCCACCAAGCTGCTTTGAGTACCACATCTGGTACTAATTCCAAAGCTGAATTGAGCATTGTCCTTTTCTCTGCCCTGATTCGGCCAGATTCAAATTTCAGTGGGTGACGGCAGAGCAGAGCAAGGAGCTGGCATTTGACTATTCTGCTCTGAGCAAAACACGGCACGGCAGGGCAGCCCTCCTTACGCAATGGATGCACAGGGCAGAGAGCAGGGCCTGGGCAGGAGCTCGCCCGAGTCCCCGCAAGGCAGCCGAGAGGGAGCTTTTTGGTAGGAGGGCAGCACAGAAGGAAGAGACGCCACTCAGGCAGCTCTTGGCGGCTGCCTCCCCCAGAGCCTCCTTGCTTGGCCAGGGGTGATGTCAGCTGCTCCTGCCCTCTCCCGAGGGGTGACTTGTCCGCACTGGGGCAGGCAGGATGGGTCTGAAGGCTGGCAATGCGAGGCTCCCTTTCTTATTACAGCACCTCCAGGGATACGTCAGTGGGGGGGAGCCAGAATTAACGACCACATAACAGTTGATCCCAACTGTGGTCGTAAGTCTAAGAGGACTACTTGTATGCATGCTGATTTCACATGGAGTTGAACATTTGTTGCTCAGTGTGGTAAGAGTAGCATAAAACTGAAGTAAAGCCCATGTGAAAATATTGGAGTAATAATTAATGTTCTTAGTGAACAGTGAAACTCTGAGCAGAGAACAGGACAAGGATGTGCGAAGACCTCTTGATTTCTTAGTGGAAGGGTGGATAAAATGGGTATTGTCCTGCTGGCGCTGGTTCTCGTGGTGTGTTGTTGGAGACCTAAACCTACATGGAGCTTCCTAGGGATGCAGAGCAGAGCTTGTCTCTTGCCCTGTTTGGGGCCCGGAGCCCGTAAAGGCCCCTAATGGGCAGCTGGGGCCTCAGTATTGTCTGGTTGGGAAAAGGACCTGGGGAGAGGACTCCCCTGCCTCCTCTCGGGGGGGACCCATCCTTTCTCAGTGCCCCCCAGCCCTGCCCTGCCAAGTACCCGAGTCGGGCTGGATCCGGAAGGCGCCGTTCTCATTGCCACTCACGATGCTGTAGGTGATCTGGCCGGATGATCCTGTGGTGTGCCTGGCTGGGGTGCTCAGCACCAGTGTGCCTGAAAGGACAGTTAGCACCACAGTCAGAAATGGGGTGGGGTGGGGGTGCAAAAAGGCCAATGGGGGGAGGATAGTGACTGGCCTCCATGGGGCAAAGGAAAATGCTTAAGCCAGAAAAAAGGAATGTATGGGTCATAAAGCCTGCTGAAAGGACGGGGCTATCAACTGTATCACCTCACCTCACCCAGGAAACGGAAGCCTTCAGTCGGTTTCTTCGTTCAGCAAGGTGAAATGAATGCGCAGCAAGACATGGTTTAAGTATTAGAGGGCTGCTCCAGAGTCTCACCACCCTCTGGAGTTGGCAGTGGGGAAGGGGGCAGAGACCCAGGCAACGGGCTCAGAACCGACCTTTCCCCTCCTGCAAGTGATAGGGGCAGGTGCTGGGCAAGGAGTGGGATGGGGGGACAGCCCATTTCCAGCCCCTCCCCCACTACAGGAGCTTTGAGCCAGACCCTCACCCTCAGCCCAAGAGCAGGGGGGCATGGAGGGGAAGGAGCTGGACTACCAGGGGCAGAAGCAGATTCTGCACTCTCTTAGCCTGGGAGAGTTGAGGAGAGAGCTGCTGATGCTGCTGCCTCAAGGACAGAGGGTAGAGACATCCAATAAATCAATCAAACAATCAATTAGTAATGAACACCCGTGGATCCAAAGGTCCTACCTGCCATCTGAACCTATCTAAGAGGCAAACACCAAAAGTACTGTAAGTCGTGAAAATTGAACTGTGGCCACTCCCAAAAGGGAACCCACTTCCGGGATGGGGCCATGCAATCTTTGTGTAGAATAGGCTGCGTGGCAGATTGGCTGCTTCCCAACAGAGAGCTATGGAAAAGGTAAGTAACCAAGCCATAGCAGGGGGTGGGGAGGAGTGTGTGGGATGCAGTGGAGTGCTAAGCAGGGCCAAGCACTGCGGGGTCAAGGGGGGGATGGGGATGAAAAGAGGCGGGTGGTGCTGCAGCATTCCTGCAGTTGGTCTTAAGAGTGGGGTGGATTGCCAAGTGACTAAATCTTGGTCATATGACGGGGGGGCACTGCAGCAGCTGTAACTTTGGGCAGGGGTGGCAAATCCCTTCATTCAGCACTGTCATAATTTCAAACTCTCTCTGAACAAACAGTTGTTAAGTCAAGAACCACCTATAACCTTTTCAGGTTTGGGATTTTAACTCGGGATTTCTTCCCCATTTCTTTCCTTTCCACACTGTACCTATCTTACACAAATGCCTCTACAGAGGCTCTTGGGGTGAGGAGGACTAGCCTTCCCTCTTCCATCTTTCTCCCCACAATCCACAGTGTACACAACTGTGTTTGCTCTTCCCTCCGCATCAGGGCAGAGGCCTCAAGATATCCAGCAGACAACAGCCATTCTGCCAGGCCCAGCTTGGTGCTGGTCTTCTGTCTTGGTCTGCCTCTTGGGATATGCCCCCCCAAGCCCCTCACTTGCAGAAAGGGCCCGTCTCCGGGCAGTACCTGGGGCAGCGTTCTCAGGAAGGACCACATCGCTGGTGCTGCGAGGAAAGTGCACTCCCCAGTGGCTCTCGTCTTGCATATGAATGACCACCACGCCAATGGAGGAGAGGGGGGGCTGCCCCAGGTCGCTAGCCAGCACAAACAGGGTCCGCTGGCGCTGGTTGAGACTCCCCAGGGGCTGCAGCAGCTGGATGGCCCCAGTGTACGTGTTTATGGCGAAGGCTGGGGCGGGCACAGCAAAACGATACAGGATGGAAGCGTTGGCCCCAGCGTCGTGGTCCTCTGCCCGCAGAGTGGCCACCACTCGCTTGGGTGGAGTATGGTGGGGCAGGGTGACGGTGAGTGGGCTGAGGGGGAAGGATGGGACATGGTCGTTCACGTCTTGGACAGTGACCATGATGGCTGTGGAGGCGCTCCTGGGGGCTGAAGGGGAAGAATCAATGGCCAAGCCTTGGAAGGAATAGGTGGCCCGGCGTTCCCGGTCGAGTGGCTGGGTGCTGTACAGGCGGCCTGTTTGCGGCTCCACCTGGAAGGCTCCCAGCGACTCGTTTGCCAGGAAATACGAAATTCGTCCGTTGTTGCCTTCGTCCGGATCTTGTGCCTTAAGTTGTAGCACGGGGGATCCCACGGGCAGGTCCTCAGGCACCTCTGCGGTGTAGGCCTCTTGCACGAAGTGGGGAGCGTTGTCGTTCAGATCCAGCACCTGTACTTGAACTGCCATACTGGCACAGCGGGCAGGAGAGCCGTTGTCGCAGGCTTGGGTGGTTAGCATATAGGTGGCTTTGCGTTCCCGGTCCAGCCCTTGCACAGTGGACAGCTGGCCAGTTAAGGGGTCCAGAGCAAAATCCTCTTCAGGGTCCCCAGCTGCAGGGAGAAGGATAGGGGGCAATAAAAGCTTCTAGGCCAAAGTAAGGCTAAGGGTCACTTTGCCAAATCGTGACTCAATTGCAAGGAGAGCAAAATGGTCCAGTTTCCAAAAATGTATTATTTACTTATTTTAGGGGAATCTGTAAACTGTCCCACTTAGCTAAGTATCTGTGGAGATTCTCAATCATCCAGGTCATGGTTATCCCAAAGGTGCTTTTTTAGAAGGCAACTGGACTTTCTTGTTTTTCTTTGAAGACGTTTCGCTTCTCATCCCAGAAGCTTCTTCAGCTCTGACCAGATTGTAGGGAATGGAAGGATTTCTAGATATGCAAGGAATATATATCCTTCCATTCTCCATCATCTAGTCAGAGCTGAAGAAGCTTCTTGGATGAGAAACAAAATGCCTTCAAAGAAAAACAAGAAAGTCCAGTTGCCTCCTGAAAGAGCGTCTTTGGGACCACCTAGCTAAGATTCTTGGTGGAGAACAATGGCCGAATATAATGACCAATAAAATTACCAAGAATGGTGAGAATGCCATACTGTCCAGCCCAAAGGCCCCGGGGCTTCTTGTGGGATGCTGCCTGCCCCGGGCTCCCTTCCCTCATTTACCTGCCAGTGAGTAAGAGACGCGCCCATTGTCCCCCGCATCGTGGTCTGTGGCACGCAGGGTGAGCAGCTTCTGGTGACTCTGGTTCTCTGGCACGGCCAGAGAGTAAGCATCATTCTGGAAGATGGGGGCATGGTCATTCTCATCCCCCACGAGGACACGCACGGTGGCCTTGGCCTGGCGGGGGGGCAGGCCCCCATCCTGCGCATATACTGCAGGGAGAAACAACATGCATGGCGCATGTTAGCCCCAATTCTTTCTCTGCCCCAGAATTCTGTGCTGGGTAACTCTGATGCTACACTAAAAGTGGCTTGTTTCTTGCAACCCCCATAAACATTATGCAGATAAGGCTTATTTGCATACATTAACCCATTGGGCACAATGATACGTGCAAATAGGCCTTTCTGCCAATTCTACAAGCCCTGGGAAAGAGCATTCAGTCCCCTGAACCCCAAGTATTTCTAAGCATACCTCTGAGTGCTGAGGCCTAGAAGCTTACTTTTTCAAAAAATAAAGTAATGTCTCAATAGAAGAGAATATCTGAAGCTCAGGGTTGAACTGTGGAGTACTTGGTGCTCTCTGAGCTTGGTGGTTTCCTTGCAGATGTTTCATTAACCAGACTAGGTAACATCATTAGTTAAGTTTCCAGGAATTCCCCAGTAAGAAACACAGTGAAAGCTCCTTAATCTCACAACATATGGACAAACTCAACCACAGTTTCAGCTGGGAAACTGTGACCAGCTTAGACCCAGCCAAATCCAAAAACACTGAGAATTCCCAGAAGACCGGCATTCAGACAAATCAGCCATCTACAGATAAATAAACCACATTCAAACACCATTATGAAGGAAACAGACCAGAATTCATCACTGCAGCAACCAACATACAGTTAAACAAGAACTAACATCAAACAATCAAGCAGAAAACAATGCCCATCAAGGAACTACACCAAGCAGAAAACTGCACCCCAGCAACACTGGCAGGGCAAGGTGCAGTGTACAAGTAGGAAGCCCTCCTCCTCCTCCTCCTCCTCCTCCTCCTCCTCCTCCTCCTCCCTCGTACTGAAGACGTCACCATTAGCTATGGGAATCTGTAAGTCTGCAAGCAAACCACCAAGCGCAGAGGGGCTCCAAAACAGCACGGGAGAGGTCATTTTGGGTATTACTTCGATGTCCTGCGGTTAGAGCCCTGTGCACTGCAATGGGCAGCTACCTTGGGTGCCAGGGGGGAGGAGGATGGTTTATGTTCACTCAGACACTGTTTCGAGATCCCTTCACGGATGCTGCCGCCACACTGGGGGTGTCTGCTTATGTGCAAGGCAAAGATACGCCTGGTGGAAAGCGAGCCCAGCACTGGGGAAAAGCAGCACTGAAAACGCCAATTGGAGCAGTTGCTGAGGAACCGCGACAGTTTCCCCTCTAGCGCTGGGGAAATTCACCTGGCAAAGGTGAGGTTTTGTGCACAAGGACCATCCAGAGCCAGGTGCAACCCTCCGCAGTCGCCTATGAATAACAAAAGGGCAGAGTCTGGCTTGCTCTAATTTTCACAAGACGTCTGTGGCCAAAAGAGGGGGCAGCCTGCTAATGGAGAAGGACCCAGCGAAGAGGACACCGCCTCCTCCTCCTCCCCTCCAACCCCCTCCCGGCCTTCCTCCCAGGCGTCCGTTACCTGTGAGCAGGTGTTCAGCTCGCTCTTCGTGATCCAAGGGGCCTAGAGTGCTGATCAGGCCTGTGTGGGGGTCAATCGTGAAGTCGTCCCCAGCAATGCCGCCATAAGTCACCTGGCCATTGGTCCCTGTGCAGGAAAGGGGAAAGGGTCTTTTTTTTCCAGGCTCCTGGGAACCCTCATAATCACAGACCCGTCTCTCCACCACTGCACAGATCAGCTGACGGAAAGGCATGGAGGACCACCAACCCTCTTCAGAGGTGGGAAGGGGCTTTGCCAAGACTCATGGCTTGGCCTTTTGCATTTCCCGTTTAAGCCGAGACCATTCAAGACGATATGGCCATCCCTCTGGAGGACCAGTCTTGGCAGCGGGACCTAGGCCTGACAGGGAGTCTGGTGAGGAGGGGGGGGAAGTCTCATCGGTCACTGGAGGGTGGATCTCCTCGCTGGATCGCTCGGTCTCTGTGGGGAGCACAGGGGACCCTGTTACAGATGCTGATGGGCTCAAGACCAAGACCAAGTTGCTTTGGATGTTGTAGCTGTCCATCTGAAGGAGGTCCCCTGGACAGCAGGTGTGCCTGCAGCTTCCCCCAGGGGCGTATAGGGGTCTCGGGGCCAAGGAAAGGCCCTGCTGGGCAAGGAGGGTGGCTCTGCTACCTGGCCAGGGTCTTTGTGCCTTTCCTGTCTCCCAGGGCAGAGGAGACTCCTACCAAGGTCCTGGTCAGTGGCATGGAGTTGCAGCACTGGAATGCCGGCAGGAAGGTTTTCGGCCACCTGGCCTTCATAGACGCTCTTCTCAAAGGTTGGTGTTTCATCGTTCACATCCAGCACTTGCACTAACAGGAGCTGTGTGGCGCTGTGCCGTGGGGATCCGTGGTCTGTGGCCACCACTGTCAAGTTGTGCTGAGATACTTCTTCCCGGTCCAGAGCCCGCACAATGGACAACGCCCCTAGGAAAAGAGCAAGAGGGAACAAAGCAGGGCAGCTTGTTCTGCACATCTGGGTAGAAGTTTTGTCCCAGGAAGCAGGCAGATGGAGAGAGACTGACAGCAGAAGGGGCCTTGGCTGGCATGTCTGTCCCTTGGCAGCCCTCGCCAGCCCTCGGCAATGGGTTCTGATTGTAAGCGCTGAACTAGCCAGCATGGTGGGGAAGGACACTTCGCCTGGTGAGGGCATAATTATGTTCTGGATGCACTGAGATGATCTGGGGGAACTTGAGGTGGTTTCCCAAAAGCTCTCACAGCTGGCAGGCTATTCTCAAAGGTGAAAACCCCACCCTGGCACGGACCGTTTGCTTAAAGGCTGCTCCCCGAGACTGGCCCTGGGAAATACACACTCCGCCTTTTCTGCCTGCTTCTGCTGCCTACCTGTGCTGGGATTGAGGTAGAATCGCCCGTCAGGGTTCCCTGCTCGCAACAAGTAACTGACTCGCCCGTTCTCTCCCATATCCTGGTCTCTGGCCACCACCTGCAGCACCAGAAAGCCTGTGGGCTGATCCTCAGGAACATCAACTCTTGGTGGAGAAAGGAACTCAGGTGCATTGTCGTTCTCATCCATGATGAAGATGTGAGCGGTCACAGCTGCCGAGTGGCGCTGGCTGACATTGTGGGCTTGGTCTGTGGCCATGACAGCCAGCAGGAAGGCAGACTGGCTCTCTCGGTCTAGAGGGGCCTGCAGGCTCAGCTCCCCCGTGAGGGCATCCAGCTGGAAGACGGGGTGCAGGGTGTCCTGCCGCAGGAGGCTATAGTGCAGCTGGCTGTTGGGACCGGGACCATCGCCATCCAGAGCCTGGAAGGTGTAGAGGGCAAGGCCCGGTGTAGCGGTCTCTGACACCACCACTGTGACGGGGTCCTGAGGCCAAGTGGGGCCATGGTCATTGCTATCCTGTACGTGGATCTCGACCAGGAGCAGGTGCTGGCTGGGGTAACCATGCCATGAGTCTTCCACGCTCACGTGCAAGGTATGCCGCCTCTCTGCTTCATAGTCCAGCTCTTGCGCCAGGTAGATCTCGCCCGTGCTGGCGTCCACGATAAAGACGCCGTCTCCATTGCTGCCCCCCACCAGCATGTAAATTACTTGCCCACGGAGGGGTGGTTCTAGGGGAGCCACCGAGCCAATGCTGGAGCCAGGTGGCAGGCCCTCCATGGCATAGAAGGTCAGCACAGTTGTTTCGGGGCGGGCGAGGGCATGGCTGGAAGATACCACCTACAGAGAAAGGGAGGGGAGGGAGAGCATTTAGGGAGGAGGGGGAGAACCTTCCGAGCGAGGAGCTGAGGGCTGGCAGGTTCCCAGGAAGCTCTGCATGTACCTGAATGCGCAGTGTGGCAGCCGTGCTCCTGGGAATGACGCCTCGGTCACTTGCAGTGACAGTGAACAGATATTCTCCCTGGTCAGCTTGCTGCAAGGGGGTGGCCGTGCGCAGCTCCCCCGTAGCCATGTGCAGTGAGAAGTGTTCTGCCCAGGCACCTGCCAGGGAAGGAAGGAAGGAAATGTGGCCATCTGGAGAAGCCAAGCAGGGGAAGAAATGGCTGGCCTTGGCCTCTCCTTCAGGAAGGTGAAACCAAGCGGCCGAGCCCAAGGCCCTGTTCCATGCCAGCCCTCTTGAACCAGATGGGATGCTTCAAAGGCCCAGTCCGAAAGGATCCCCGGCTTTTCCTTTCCTGTCCAGGTTCCTGGCCAGGACAAACGTGGCCATCGCCTGCAGCTCATGCACACAGGGAGGCTGTGGGAGAGCCAAAAGGGCAGCCCAGCTACGAGGCCACCCTGGCTGATGGCTGCCAAGGTGCCTCTGTGCCCTCCATGCCTTTTAGCGGCAGGATGTGGAAGGACCGTCTTTCCTTTCCTACTCAGGAAGGGCTCCTCTGAGGAGGGGAAGGAGACTGGGGCCAGCCCTGCTCTCTTTTGAAGGGCTCACTCCTGCAGTTGTCATAGGGACACCGTAGGGATTTTATAATATTTTACAGTGCTTCAGTTCTACACTTCAGCTGTCCATGCTTTCCTCTTACAGCTCTCCCTTTTGCATACAACTTTTACAGCAAGAGCCCTGACTGACCTCACCTGGTGGTCAGCACAGCTTGCCCTATGAAAGGGTCTCGCACATCTTTTTGCCTGTGGACTGCACACCACAATGAGTTCTGACAAACCTCAATCCTTGGGGGGGGGGAAATAGGATAACTCTGCCGAGCACCCTATAGGAACTGGGGCCACACGGAGAGAGAGGCTTGAACAGGTGGAACCTCCCTTTTGTGTCCCCCCTGCTCATCCCATCCGCATCTGTATCTTTGAGTACAAGGACCAAGAGTGACCTCTGAGCCTTAGGTCATTGGGTAGAGGAGTGCAGCCGGCCAATTGGCCTGATGGACAAAGCAAGAGCCAGAGATGCTTCTGCCTGGTCCTCCATATGTTCCCCCAGTCAGGATCAGGCCAAGAAGCGAGGAAGGAGGGAGAGCAGAGAGACCTGCTGGCTGCCTTTCGTGTGCGCAGTTGCTGCCTTCCTTGTTTTCCTGTATTTCCCTTCTGATCATAAACATTTTATTTTGAGAAGTTTGATTTAAAAAGGGGATCTCTCATTAAAACCCCTCTCCCTGTGCACGATGCCCAGCGCCTTCATCCTGACAACCAGGATCAGGTCTGTTTGCTTCTCAATTGCTACAGCTGCAATTCCAAAACTCCCCCCCCCATCTTTCTGAGAAGGGGGGCTGAAGGGAAGGGAGCGAGGAGACCAGCTGGTGGCAGCTCACCTCTTGGCCCTGGAAGAAGGACTCTGCCTAGAGAGGCCACATATCCTCTCACCCTGCCTGTCCATCACTGGGACCGAATCTCCAGGTAGCCAATGGGCAGCTTTCCACCCCAAAGGCTCCACCTGCAGGCCTTTCCTCATCCACAGGGAGGTGCTTCCCCTACTTCCAGACTGAGATTGATCCACCTGCTTCTCACCCACCCAAGTAGCCATCTTCAACAAGCACGAAGCAGAAGAGGGTATGGTAAGGGAACAGGAATTGGTTCCCTTACTTCCGGTTCCATCGGCTGGAGGCCGGTTCAGTGCCTGGGGCTAACAGTGACGGGGAAGACTGCTTGAGACGGGAGGCTCACGGGGGCTCCTCACCTGACAGCGTGTAGAAGACGGTTCCATTCTCACCCTTATCTGGGTCCTTGGCCTGCAATGCGGCCACCAACAGGCCAGCTGGCTTATCTTCCAGAACCTGATGGGCAGAAAGCCAGGAAGTGGGGAGCTGGAACTGACCACTGACTCCTCTTCACGCCCTCCTGGCCACTGAGACAGCTTCCCAGCTCCGCGTACTCAGACGTGGTGTGTCAGTGTGCAAGGAAGCCCACCTGCTCTTCAGTGCTTCCAAAGAAGCTACGATGGCTTTGCCTGGCAGCCAGCCCGACAGCCAGGGCTCTCCCTCCCTGTCCCCGAGAGAGCCTGAGCCCCTGCTCAGAAATGACCCACCCAGCCCCCTGACCTGCAGGAGAAATTCACGTCCCTCGGCCACGTGTAGGAAGGTCGGCGCATTGTCATTCTCGTCCAGCACAGTGACGTAGATTGTGCCTGTGGTGCTGCGGGGCGGTGTCCCCCCATCTTGTACCAGGACTTGCAACTGATAGCTGCTTTGCTGCTCCCGGTCGAGGCTCTTTCGAATGCTCAACTCACCTGCAAACAAAGCATGTGGACAGAGTCTTTCAGCCTGATGTGCTTGTGCAGGAAGGCCACACTTGTATAAAGACACTCCTCAGTGGGAACACCCAGGCTTTGCTCTCCCCCCCCCCCCACGTCCTCTCACCAGTCTGGGTGTGGATGAGGAAATGGCCCTCGTGTGGCACCAGGCGGAAGGTCAGGCGGCTGTTGGACCCAGCATCCCAGTCAGTGGCTATCACACGGCCCACACTGCTGCCAGCAGGCCGGTTCTCCACCACCGTGAAGAAGTAGCGCTCCTCGCTCAGACGAGGACTGTTGTCATTCTCATCCGTGACAGTGACCCGGACTGTGCTGGTCCCTGTCTGGCGCCCTTCACCCTCTCCAGCTACAGCCAAGACAGTCAGCACATACAGCTCCTGCACCTCCCGGTCAAGAGTCCGGCGCACATGTAGCCACCCTGTGTCAGGTGCAATCCCAAAGCTGGTCGCATCACCATCTGCACGCAGATGGTAGGCAAGGAGGGCGTTGTGTTCCCGGGCCAGAGCCCTCACTTGCAAAAAATGAGTGCCCACTGGCACCCCCTCCCGCACCTCCACTCTGTAGGTGAGAGTATCAAAGAGGGGCCCCAGCTGGTCTTCAGCCTGCATGTGGACTAGGAGGGTGAATGTGGCACTGAGCCGCGGGGTCCCTCCATCCTGTGCCAGAATGAGCAGCTTGTAAGGGCTGAGGCTTTCCTGATGAAGGGCCCCCATCAGCCGCACCTTCCCTGACAGACGTTCTACACCGAAGGCAGCCATTCCACGGGAGGCCAGCTCAAAGTGGACTTGTCCGTTGGCTCCGCTGTCAGGGTCCTCAGCCTGCACGGTATAGACAATGGTGCCCAGGGCTGCTCCCTCTGGCAGCGACACAGAATCAGAGGACAAGGGGAAGCGGGGGGGATTGTCATTGACGTCAGAGACAGTGATCTGCACCCGGGCACTGCTGTACGCGGGCGGGGAGCCGCTGCGGGCCTGGACCTCCAGGGTCAGAATGGACTGCGCTTCATGATCCAGGGCCAGGTTGGTGTGCAGCTGTCCCGAGCTGGGATCAATGGAGAAATGGCCTTGTGGGTCCCCCGCAGAAATGGAGTAAAACACACTGTCCGTTTGGCCTGGAGAGATGAACAGGGTCAGCACCGGACAAAGGTCGCAGTGCCCAAACTCTCCACATCCCGCCCTTGATCTCCCTCCCTCCCTGAAAGGTCTCACAGTTCATGGTGCTTCTTCCTTTCCCTTGGGGAGACTTTGGGAGCTGACCTGGACCACATCTGAACAGACATGGCACCGAGTGCATACATTAAATAGAAGGAGCAGCTCAGGTGCACTTCCCTCTGGAAGCCTGGGCCAGGCAGGACTTTGGCACAGAGGGCGCCGCTTCCCACAGGTCGGACCACCTGCCTGGAAGCAGGGGAAGGGAGCAGCAGCTAGGAGCCCCTTTGCCAGGTCCATCCCACTACTATGAGGAAATTTGGTAAACTGTGGGGGCTTTCTGCTTCCTCAATGGACCCCTGCCCCTGTACTCTGGGCAAGAGGAGCAACCTATGCAAGGTCACTAAACAAGGTGCGGAAGCAGTACCTGGAGCATTGTGTGCATGGATGGATCCCACGCTACTGCCCGGCCGGGTATCCTCTGGGACTGTGAAGTAATACTGGGCCCGCTCAAAGTTCGGAGGGGAGACAGTGCCCGCCACAATGCTGATGTTGATCTGAGCAGTTGGCTGAGCTGCCAGCCCTCCTCCATCTTCAGCCTCTACCTCCAGCTGCACCAACAGGTTGGCCTTGCCAGTGAGTGGCCTCCGCAACGAGATGACACCTGTATAATGAAGGAAGCCAAGCTGTAAGGATGGGACCAGATCCAGGCTCCCTTGCGAGAAGGGTTTGCAGCCCACCATGCCAGAGAGCCTGCAAGAGGTTCCCCCTCCCTGTCATGCGGTACCAGTATCGGGGTTGATGGCAAAAACGGTCAACATGTTGCCATTGGCAATGCGGTAGGTCACTCGCCCGTGCAGGCCCTCATCCTTATCCTGGGCAGTGACTCGCAGAACAGCAGAACCCGGCTGGCTTTGGGTGCTGATGCTGGCAGCATACTCAAGGGGGTAGAATGCCGGTGCGTTGTCATTGACATCTTCCAGAAAGACTTTCACGTAGGCCGTGGAGCTGAGCCCACCCTGAGAGAGAAGGAAGACCCTTTGGAAGAAGTGCCAAGAGCAGCCATGCTCCTGGCTGCATTGATGGCTGCCCGCCCAAGGAGGCCTCCAGAAGCCTCGGACGGGGTGCCGGCTGATGCCTTCTGCCTTGGCACCGCAAAAGTGCTGAAGTGGCCGGCAGCTTTTAGGGTTTCTGAGAGACCCTTCGTACACCCCTCCCTTCTAGTACCCAGCCAGGCCTTGAGCACAGAATGCCTTTCTGAGGCTCCTCGACTCCTTGTGGCTGCTCACCCCATCAATGGCCGTGACTGTGAAGTCATAGGTAGAAGGCCCCTCGTCCCGGTCCAGGCCTTGTGCAGTGCAGAGCTGGCCGGTCTCTTCCCCAAGAAGGAACGCAGAGGGAACCAGGCTGCCGAGCCCTGTGCCCAGGGCATAAGAGACGCTTCCCAGGGAACCGCTATCTGCATCGGTGGCCATGATCTGTGGCAAAAGCGGAAGCACCACGCTGACCCACCAGACAGAAAGATGCCAAGAGGTCAAGGGTCAGCTCCACCTTGCCAAATGACCCTCGCTGCAGCCCCCTGCCCCCCCCCCCGCACTCCCTGGGCTCTGCTGGGACAATAGTCAGAGGATTGCAGGACTTCTCCCAAGCCAGGTCAGCCTCTGTACACACACACAGCTAGCGATGGGGTGGGGGTGCATGGGGAGGGAGGGGGATTTTCCCTCTCCCCTCCAATACCGAGATGGCTGGAAAAGGAGGGGCTCCTTCAACGAGGACCTTCAGGATGCCAGCAGCCAGGCGGATGACTGCAAGGGGCATGGCCCTTTGCTAATGGGGGCACACACCCACCCTTTCCCACCGGGTACAGGTGCCAGGAACTCTAGCATCAAGCATCTGAGGGAGGGGCTCAACCAATCCACTCACACATCTGCCACTGGGGGCCAGGCCGCTGATCCCGCTCTGTCCCCTCATCCCCCCCACCCTGGCCTTTCCTTGCACCTTCTACCCACGCTGGAAAGGGGTTTCTGCCCACCAGGAAGAGGACGGGAGCCCACAAGCGGTGGCCAGCAGACAAGAGGGCGGCTACAAGAAGGGGTACCAGACCCAAACGGGACAGGGAGTTTGTGGGGGACAGTCTCCAGCTGACTTTTGTCTTAAAGAAGGACCTGGTGTGGCTAGTTCTGGAATGGGAGACCTCCAGAAAACCCTGGACAAACTCAGTCCCCAAGAAGAGGTCTCCTCCCCAAAGAGGCTCAGAAGAGGGAACTCCTCCCTGCTTAAAAAGGGTGGAGTGTGCAGCCTCTGCTGGGAGGGGGAGGGGGGAGCAGGAGGGATGGGGAGAGGAAGTTGCAACAGGACCCCTTCTGTGGGCCGAGGGCAGGCCTGCTTCAGTACGGGGGGGTGGGGGTGGGGAAGAGAAGCTGGAGCCTTCCCCCCTCCCCACGGGAGGATTGAGGTAGAGAGTCTCCTGTCTGGGGAGCCATAAGCTCACCCCACTTTTGCCACACAATGGTTTGTTCACAGGCCTTGGAGGGCCCAGGCTGGACTCCCCATCCCACTAAGTAATGCCCCCCTGAGGGCCGCTGGTTGGGGCCCTCTTGGGAAAAAGGGCCCCTTTTAGCTTTTCAAGGCCTGATTGGAGGGGAAGGCCATTGGCCGGAGGTGACCCTCTGGCACTCACAACTGCTGGATGGGCAGAAGAGGGTAGGTGGCTGCTTGGGGCAGGGGGAGAAGGGAGGAAAGGAACAAGAAAGCCGGGGCCAGCCCCTTCCGGGCCCTGCTCGCCTGAGTTCATCAGGGAAGGGCCTCACTGCCCCCGCGGGGCCTCTCTGTTCTCCTGCAGGGCTGCCCCAGCCAAGAGGAGGGCTTCCCACTGCCTTGGTCACCCTCCGGTCCCAGGCCTGCCAGTGATAGGCCCCTTATGCCACGGAGGTCCTGGGAACGGTGACCCCCAGGGTGGCCTCTGCGCCTTGCCCCATTGCTAGCCTTGGCTCTTAGGGCTGCCCCTGCAACTTGAAGGACTCGCAGCTGCCCTTACAGCAGAACACACACACACCCCGCCCCAAGGCTGTTCTGCGCATGGAGGGCAGGGTGTTTATGCTGGGGGGGGGGGCGGGAGCCAGAGGAAAGCCTTGACCTAGTGCGCCTGTGCGAGCTGAGCCAAATACTATTTTTCTTTTTTCTTTTTCATGGGGTGCGTGAATTTTAAAACTCCCAAGTTTTTCTGTAGGCATGCTGGTAAATAGTTCTCAGCTTCGGCTACCATCCCATCAACTTTTGTGATCCTGGAGTGCACAACAGGATGTTTTTCAGCTTTTACAGTAGCCTCTGGCAGGAAAACTCCAGATCTTTCAATGTTTCAAATTGCAGTAAAACCTACGGAAATCACTTGAGCCGATTGCTCCAAGAGGGGGGAATCCTTCCTCTCCAAGCTCAGCCCATCCCCCCTCCTCCCCCCCTTCTCTCAGTTGGGCAAGAGCGACAGGCCCCCAACTACTACTTTCAGCAATAACCAGCCAAAGACGGGCTTGTTTTACCAAAAGTTTTACTCCAGCAGCGATTCCTACCTTGCCTGCTTGCCTGGCCCATCCCATCCCCGAGGCCACGAATGGCAGGCTGCCCAAGAGGCCCCACTCGACAGATGTGCACAAAGCCACAGCTCCACATCTGGCTTTGGTTCAGGCCGAGAGCGGTGGGCGCACTGGCGCCAGTGTGGTCAGCAAGCCCACGCAGGCTCCCTGCTCAGCTTCTCGGGCAGCAGCCCTCCTTGGGCCTGGCACAGATGCTGAGCGGCTAAAAACAGCTGGGCTATTTCAGGAAGGGCTGGCTTCCAGCTTCAGGCTGTTGGCCTCAAGGGTCAGCCAGGAAGCGGATGGTCTGCATGGCTGGGTCAGGAAAGGAAGCTGCCCCGGGAGAAATGAAGGCGGCGGCAGCAGCAGCAGCAGCAACAGAGTCGGTGGTGCTGCTGCTGGAGAGATGCCTCCCTTGCAGCAGCCAGCCAGCCGTGTGCCTGAAGGCCTCTTGACCAGAAGCAATGCCCAGGAGGAGGAGGAGGAGGAGGAGGAGGAGGAGGCCCCAATCTGACCGGGTCCAGATTCTCTGCAGGGGAGCCCGTTTCATTCAGCAAAGAGAGGATTAGCAGCACAACTCTTAATGCAACCCCCTCCTGGGCTGGGCACGACCCCCCCCCTACCCTGGCACCACAGCAACAGCCCTCTCATCAAAACAGCCAGAAGCCGCCGCAGGGAGGGGGGAGATCAGTTGGAGCCCAGCTTCTTTCTAAAGTGCTTCTTGGTTGTGTTGGTTATCTGGGTTCTTTCTCAGCTGCCTGTGTTTTAATCTGTATAACGTTCATTATTGTTTTTACTCTGTTTTGATTCTGTTTGCCACCCAGAGTCACTCACTGAGATGGCTGGCTGTATAAATTGGATAACTAAATAAATATAAATCAATAAAGAAACTAAGTCAATAAAGAACTATAACCTTGAGAAATGGTTCAAAAATGTGAACAGGGAGGGGGATGCTATGCCAACTCAGCCAGTGGATGCTTCTCGGGGGTGTGTGTGGAAATGTTGGGTGCTTTTTGGATTGTCCTCTTTTGGAGTCCTGGGTTCGGCTGTCTAGCTGGTCTCAGGGGTTTTATGGGTCTCCAGGGACGCTCTGAGGTCTACCGGCCAGGGCCTCTTTCCACAAAAGCTGGGCCTTCCTTGGCCTCGCCAGGAGCCGTGCCATCACGCTTCCATTCAAGAGGCACGGGGTGGGGGTGGCAGGGGGCTTCAGAGTGGGCACAGGCATGTTGTTGTGGTGCCTCTCTGACACAAGAGTGTGCTTCCTTAGCAGATGAGCACAATGTGCACGCCACTCTTAAAGCCTGACATCCATTGCACGGCATAGCCCCATATTGCTCTAGCCTGGCATTGCCCTCATGTAGTCGAGCGCCCTTATTTTCCTTGCTGTTTTCACCATTTGACTTACTGGGAGTCGGCAAACTCTGTCAGGGAGAATTGGCAGAGGGGGCAGCTTCCTGCTGCAAAGATGACCTCCCCCACCCCACCCCCGAACCAGGGTGCTCGTTGCAGGGAGGTAGGCTGGGAAAGATCAGTGCAGGCTCTCTGCCCCCCCCCTCCCCCCCTGAAGCGGGAGGGAAGAAGTTTCATCTGCAGAGAGAGACAGCAAGCAGGCTGGACAGTGTCTTAAGGGGGCAGCTTCCCAATCAGAAGCGATGCCCCAACAGGACTTCAGGGATGTTACCGAATTGTTTTTGACCCTTGAGTATTAATTTTAGGATTTGGGAGGAGTTTAAGGCTGGGATTAGGAAACAGGGATGGTACATTTGTCCCTAGCAGTGGTGCTGTCCTTCTCAGCCTTTTTCCAGCATTCCTGACCACTCGCTGGTTCTGCTGCTGATATCTGGGCACCTTGGCTGTGCAATTTTGGGGAACTGCAGGATTGCCAAAAGTTTGTTTGAGGCCACTGCCCTGCTTGCTTTCTTGGGCAGACGCCGTTCCTGGCCACCAACCACATTCTGGGTTGTCTTATCACTGTGGCAGGTGCTCTTCACGGAGAATATTCTACCGTCAAAAAAGCATATGCACATGCTACACAAATGCCACTCATAACTATGTGGCATACACCAAAAGCACACCCCACGAAACGTACACAGATACCTTAATCCCCTTTCAAATTTAAAAAAAAACTCTAGAAAGGAAAGAGGTTCCCACAAATGCAGAAGGAAACCCATCATTTATCTGCTGTAATTTGCGGGGGGGGGGCTTGGACCCCAGCCGGACCAATGATTGGATGAAGAAGCCAAGGTTGCTTCGTCATCTGCAAAAATGACTCTGGCTTGTTAAAGGGGATCCAGGGTTACAGCAGATTCAGTTCTGATTCTCACTTGTCAGGAAGCAGCTTCACTAGGCTTTGTGCCACCGTGGCTCTGCTCTGGTGGCACCTTTCACCTGAGGGAAGGGGTTCTAGGAGTTAGCAACACCCCATGGTGTCATTTAAGCCAAGATAAATGGGATCAGCGACACTCATGTCTGGTGTTTATCCCACACCACTGGTCATCAGTTGTAGCTGGGTCTCTGCCTAACAAGGAACGGGAGAGGGATTTACACAGGAAAGCCAAAAGGTCCTTCCTGTAACGCCCACTACACTCCAGAGGCAGAAGGAATCCCTCAAGAAGGGGGAGAGAGAGAGACAGAGAGAAAGAGAGAGAGAGTGTTGCAGACAGAGAGAGGGGAGGGGAGGAGAGGAGAGAGGGGAAGGGAAGGAAGGGGAAAGAGGGGAGGGGAGAGGAACTGTTCCAGAGATCTGGCTCTGAAAAGCACAGGATTGGGGCCAGGCCCACATTCTTCTTGGGTACAAAGCAAAAGGAAACAAAAGAAACATATGGTACAGTCTACAATCGGAAAAACAAAAAGGTAAAACTGAGAAAGACCAAAGAAGGTTAAAATTAATGAACTCTATCTCGCATAGATAGAAGATGCCATTCTGGCAATCTTAGGACCAAAAACTGTGTGAAAATCAACACAGAACTGCCTGGCAAAAAAGCCAGCCAAATCTCAAAGATTCCTGAAACATTTGTGATCAAGGATGGACAGTTATGCACACATCAACAGTGCCCCAAAGGCTGGAGGATACAACACTGATGCGCTGCTGGCTCCACAGGAAGGAGGTTGCCCTACTGTGGCCCTTTCCACCAGCAAGGCCTGGCAGGAGGGTCCTAGGCTGGGTCCCTGGGGCTACCCTGATGGACCCAGAGGCAGAGGGCACAGAATCTTTCTCCACTGTCATGTCCCCACCTGCAGCCTTTAGATGCTGCTGCCTTACGAGCACCAGCCTCTGCGCTATAAGTCCTCGCTTCCACTGGGTCTGGCCTCTGTGGTGAACCATCCAAGTGGTGGCCACCACATCTGCTGGCAATGAATTTAACAATGAGACTGTTCCACTGCTCCCAAAGCACAATATTCCTCTCTGGCCTAAAATAAGGTTTATATATCCAAGGTCTGCCAGGGGTGGGGGCTCCTAGGAAGCTGAGGAATGGCCAGGGAATCTCCACCTACGAGAACCAGCAGCCCAAAGCAGCCCAGCGGTTCTGAGCAGAGGCTGCGTGAGAATGAGTCTCAGAAACAGCATCCAGAGTTCACCTTTGCATGTGCCAGCAAAGGCAGGAGGCATGCGGTGAGAAGCTGCCTTAACTACCCAAGAGTTTAACACCCCTCCTGCTCCAAGGAAGCAACGCTTTCCCCCCAAGATGGATCGCTCCTAACCGCATCCTGATCTTTGCTCACCTGGAGGAAGCAGGTGCCGGGGGAAACGTTCTCCTTCACGGAAATATTGTAGAAGTTACTTTCAAAGACAGGCTCGTTATCGTTGACGTCCTGCAGGGTGACAAGGACCACTGTGGTAGAAGAGAGGGGGGGCTTGCCGCGGTCAGTGGCCAGCACAGTCAGCCGAGGCTGCGGGTCGGTCTCATAATCCAAGGCAGAAGCAGTGGTGACGATGCCAGTGGCCGGGTCAATGGCAAACCAGTGAGAGTGGGAGTGGTGGTTGTGCAGGATGCTGTAGCGGATCTCCCCGTTGGGCCCTTGGTCTTTGTCACGGGCGGTCACTTGCAGGACAAAGCTGCCTGGGTAAACCACCTCAGGGACACTCTGTTCATACTCCTGGGCATCAAAGAGAGGAGGATTGTCATTGATATCCATCACCTGCAGCACAAAAGCTGATTCGGCCCGCAGGGGGGGAGTTCCAGCATCTGTGGCTGTGACTCGCAGCTCGTAAGAATCCCGTTCCTCGCGGTCCAGCATTTGATCCACACAGATCAAGTAGATGATGTTGTCTTTGGTCGTGAGAGCAAATTTCCCCTCGCCCCCCTCTAAGGAGACGTTGACGTTGGCATATTCTCCGTAGTCAGGGTCAGAGACAGAAATGCGGGCCACAAACTGGCCAGGCTGCGCCCCTTCAGAGATGCGTGGGGAGCCATCCTCGCTGAGGAAGATAATTGTCATGGTGGGCTGGTTGTCATTGTAATCCCGGACCTGAATTGTAACAAAGGCGGTGGAAACTTCTGGGTGGATGGCCTTGTCCCGGGCCTGCACCACGAGCTCATGCACCTTCCGGAGCTCATAGTCCAGTCCCTTGTTGAGCTTGATTACTCCCGTGGATGCGTCTATGGTGAAAAACTGCTCCGGGTCGCTCTGCCGGCGGTTGATCTCATACACCACCGCCCCATTGTCTCCCTCGTCGGCGTCCCAGGCAAAGACCTGGAGGATGCTGCTGCCGGGGAGCAGGTTCTCTGGGATCAGCGTATGATAGCGGCTCTGGTTGAAGGCTGGCGCGTTGTCATTAATGTCTTGGACAGACACTTCCAATGTCATTTGGGAGCTCCTTGGGGGGGATCCGCCATCATAGGCCTCAAGAAGCAAGGTAAAGGCGGAGCGGGCCTCACGGTCTAGAATGCTGCTCACTACCAGCTCCGGGTGCAAGACCCCATTGGGTCCGCGGCGCGTCTCCAGCTGGAAAGCCTGGCCCACGTTTCCCGCCTTGATTGCGTAGCCCTGGGTACCAAGCAGATCGCTGTCTGCGTCAAAGGCAGGATCCAGAGGGAAGCGGCTGCCGGTGTGTGTGCGCTCTGGGATGAGGAGGGCAGCCTGCTGCTTAGGAAAGGTGGGGGCGTGGTCATTGATATCATTGACCTGGATGTTGACTTCCACTGTGGCTCCATCTGGGGTGACAGCAATGAAACTGTAGTGGTCGCGGCTTTCATGGTCCAGCACCCCTGCTGTCTTGATGATGCCAGAGTTCTCATCAATCTCAAGATCTGTGGCAACGCCACTGCCCTCCTGGGCAGAGATGAAGTACATATAGCTGGTGGTGCCCGTGGGCAGGCCTGCACTGATGTCCCCAATGATGGTGCCTGCAGGCATCTCCTCATCGACCTGCAGGTCCAGAGTGCCTGGCACTGCCGTGCAGCGGCCCCCAAGCAGTGGCAGCAGCAGCAGCAACACAAGGGGAAGGGGCCCCATCCTCAGCTGCCCCAGGGAGCTCCTTTGGAGGGTGCCTGGGAAGAACTGCAGGGCCCACTTGGTGGGGCAGGCACCTTAATCCTGCAGGGGATGCAAAGAAAGCTGGTGAGGACCAGAGCTGAGAGAGAGAGGGTGCTTGGAGGGGCACAGCAAGTGAGGTAATTGCTGATGGGCTAATGGGGGGAGCACCCTCCCCATTCATCACTCCTGCCTCCCCAAATCCCTTCCTGCTATCTCCCCATCCTAGTTGAGGCAGCTAATCTGCCAGGAGAGGCGCCTACTTAGGGAAGGTCTGTGGATCGGAGAGGAGTTCCCTACTTCTCGGTAGGGAGTTAATTACCCTGAAGAGCCTTGTTAGGCGGGACAGAGCCAGGCCCTGTTTCAGGTAGCACTCTGTTCCCCTCCCCTCCCAGATGCTTCAAAGGTGGGCGCTGAGCATTGGGGACCAGCTACACCGCCTGCTTTGCGCTCCAGCCGCAGGGCAGCAGGGTCCTTGGGGCGGCTCGTCCCGCCCAGCGTAAGTGGCGAGGGAGACCCCCTCGTCCCCAGAGCTGCTGCCTGCTAGACTGCGGGAAGCCACAGAGCAGGAGTTCCCGCAGCTGCAAAGGCCCACCAGCCCGCGTGGGTCAGCCCGTACTCCGGTGAGCTCGGAAAGCCCCTCTGTGGGCGGGCGGGCGAGCGCTGGCCACGACCCCCTTTGTTTCGGCTTTCCTTGCGCTCGCGCGCTCGCGCGCGCCCCTCTCCCTTTGTCTGCGGCTCCCTGGCTCTGGCCCACCGCTCGCTCCCCCTGCCGTCGCTCCCTCTCACTGCAGGGCCGCGGGGGAGGGGAGGGGGAGGGAGGGAGCGGGGCTGGCTGCAGCCCCAGCAGCAGGGGCTGCCCCCGCCCCCTCCCTCACGGAGGCCCCGCCGCGGCTCGCAGTCCGGGCAAAGCTGGCTTAGCGGTCTGCGCGCCGAGAGCCGCGCGCCTGAGCTCATACTTGGCCGGGCTTGAAAGCGCCCCCGCCTGCCCGGGCAGGCGGAGGCTCCGGCCCGATGGAGGGTGCGCCCCTCCTGGATCTGCGGCCCGGCCGGGGAGGGAGCATGGCAGAGCAGGCACGGGCGGCCGCCGCAGGCAGGAGACAAGTCGGCTCCCGGCGGCAGTCTCGCCTGGGGCTCGTGCCTGTGGCCGGGGGGGGGGGGGCAGCCGGGCCAGATCGGGAGGCGCGTCTCGGTCCTCACTCCCCCCAGCCGCGAGCCTTCGCGCGCCCGCACTCTTCCGAGTCCGGCCGGGAGCAGCGAGTCCTTCTTGCTCGGGGAGCCCCGCGAAGCCCCCGCCCGCGGAACCACGAATCCTCTCCCCGGCTAGACCCGCGGCAGCCGAGGAGACTATCCGGCGGGAGGCAAAGAGCGCCGCCTCCCTTCAGGGTGAAGCTCTGCCCGCAGCTTTGGGTACCCGACCTGGCGTCGGCGCGCGCTTCTCCCCTCCGTCGGGTGGTGAAATGGCGGCTTCGGCTCCGAAACCCGGGCTGGTCTTTCCGCCCGGGAGCGCCGCCGCCCGTGCCCGCCCTCCCTGCCGCCGCCGCCGACCCGAGGGGGAGGCCAGGCGTGACCTCAGCGGCAGCAGGCGTGGAGGCGCCCAGTGCCACAGCTGCTTCCAATTTGCCCAGCGCCGATCGCGGGGGGGGGGGCGTCGTGGAGGGAGGCGAACGAGAGCGGGCGAGGCGGCTCCAGCCGGGCCTGTGAAACGTGAGCCGCCCGCCCGTCCCTGGCGGAGCCCCCGCGAGCGGCGCTGCGCTTCCGATAGCCGGATCCGACGACAGGGAACAATCAGGCTGCCGGGACGGCCGAGGCCGAAGGACCCGGAGCGGGAAGAGGAGCGCAGAGCCCCAGGGCGATGCTGCTCCCCTCGCGACCCCTCCCCCGCCTACCGCCCCCCTCGCGCCCCCAGGAGGGCTCCGCCGCTGCTTTCCTTCCCCGCCCGGGCGCAGGGCGACCCGAGGAGCGAGCGGCGGATTGCTGCGGAAACGTCCGGGCATCCCGATCACCTACGTCCATCGTCTTTGCTGGCCATCCGCCTGGCGCTCCACTTCTAGTCGGCGACGCAGTCCCGCGGCGAGCAGAGGCCGCCGCCGCCTGATGCCTGTTCGGCTGGGCAGAAACTGAAGTCGGACTGGGTGGGAGAACCGTGGAGCGAGCGCGAGCGAGCGGGGCTCCAGTGAAACCCGAGCCGAGCTGCCTCGCCCGCCCGCCCGCTCGCTCCGCTCCTGCCCGGCCCTTCTTTCGCCGTGGCGCCGCGCCCCCTTCTCCCCCCCCCCCGCGCCAGCCAGTTCCCACCCCTCAACTCCTCAGCGGAAAAGCGAGGCTGGGCGGCGGAGCGAGCGGGCGGAAGGTCTGTGCCCTCGAAGCCAGGGAGCTGCTACGGGGCCCATCTGGAGCCCGAGACTCGTCCCCCCCCCGCCGCTTGCTCTCTTCGGAGTGGAGGGGTGAAAAAGCCACACGCCATCACATGTTCGGACAGCTCCTTCGGTCCGGTCACTCCTCGCCTGCTCCGGTTGGCGGCGTTTGAATGAAGAAGCTGCCCGCTAGTTGTTGGGAGGAGGTTGGGCAGCCGACCGGGGTTGGTCCGATGGGGGAAGGAACCTCGAGCCCGGTCCGGCCCTATTTTTGCCAGTAGTGTGTAGTTGTGAGTTCCGAGCACCAGAAGAGAACTGGCTAGACGTGCTGCCTATTTCAAGGGGGAGGCCTCGCCTCCAGATGTTCCTTCTTTCCTTCTTTTTCATTGCACTGGGTGTTTGCAGCCCCCCCATCAGTTCAAACGACGAACGCCAACACTCCTTCGGTCCCTCCCGCCCTCGCTCCAGTCATCCCCCCAACCACATCTTGCGCTTCAGCCCAGAATTCAAAGCAGCGCAGAGGGCGGGTGGGGGGGCACAGAGCTGGCGGCTCCTAGTCAGCTCCCCTCACTGATCCTGGGAAGGCCTGGCTCTTTCTCCTCTTTCGCCCCGGAGGGGGGGGGGTCCTAGCTCAGAAGACCAAGGGGGGGGGCAGCCTCCCTGCCCAGGGAACAGAGCTTTCCCTGCAGCAAAGTTTAGAGACCGGAAGGCTGAAAGTGAGCCTGACTGCTGCCAAAGCAGAACAAGCCCTTCTGGGGTCACCTCTGCCGCCATCCTCCAATCGGCTCTCCTCACCCCCTCTTGTGCCCCTCAGAGGCTCCCTACAGCTGCCCTCTTCTGCCCTCCCTGCCATCAGGATGGATTGCCTGTC